GAAAACAGTTGAGTTTATCGATTTGTAACAAGTATACCTTTTTTATTTAGAATTGAACGTAGTTCAACAATTTCTAGTTAAAAAATTCAAAATTGTAAAATATAAAAAGTTAGACATATTTTTACATTGACAGGACAGTACAACTAGCGCCCCCTAGACATGACCCCAACACTATTTGCATTTCGTATTTGCCACCTCAAAAAACGTAAAACTACAAATTTTCAAAACAATCGGTCCATCCATACTTAAAATATAGATAAAAAAAGAAAATATTTTTTCAACTTTAACACCCTGTACAACGAAAATGAACAATTGATTAAGGCATGTTTGGCTCATTCGCTATATTTTGACGCTAACAATCTGCCATTAAGCTGTGTACCATTATTAATGACTCACCCTGTATACATATTACAATCTAGGTATTCTCTCTATGATCTCTCATTTCAAGACACATATCCAATCTTCGCCTGACTTCTTTGTGGGCTGCGCTTATTAACATTTCGCCATTTAACTAATTACAAGCGTTTGTGATTTTTTTCTTTCAAATGATTAATATCTCGCGAAGGTGATTTGTAAACCCAATTTTTAAAACCCCTCATAGAAAATCAAGGGGTGTTAGATCGGGTAACGGCTGATTTATCCAAATTCAATTCCCGGCTAGCCTGCCGTATAGAATTTCGTGGATTTTGTTCGAAATACTGTAACAATCTAGCTGTATTAACATTGTTTCTTACCCTTCGGTCAATTATTTGATTTTTGCGAACAGAAAATGCATATCCATTTCGTCACAATGTCGCCTCCAATCTTGTAAAGGTTCTATGTTCAGGAATGAGGCGCTTTGGATACCTTTCTCGATGTAACTCTACAGCTCGTCTTGAATTTTTTTTGTGACTCGCCGTAAATTAGCAACATATCAACTTTTTCTGAAGGAGAAAACATTTTGTAAGCACAAAAGTTATATGTACGTTTGACGTTCGTATTGAGTAATGACCAGCGCCGGACTGGCCATAGGGAAAAAAGGGAAAACTCCCGATGGGCCGCGACCCGAATGGGCCGCTTGGCCCAACATTTAATTAGATTATATTTCAAAAATTTGAAACTTTGAGAATGGAAAGCAAATAAAATTCAAAAATTTAATCGCTTTTTAAACTTTATGTTTTTTTTTGGACAATTTATTTAAGAGACATGCAAGTTAAACACACACATGCTTTTGGGATAAACGAAGTTCATTATTTGTTACATTTAACAAATAATTGGCGAAATGATTAAAATTTAGTTTCACATGTATGTTATTCTTTTGTATACTATTAGGTTAATAGATATGATTTAACAATACGCTTTCTTTGGTTTTATTTTCGTACAAATAATTATGGTTTATTCTAGAATTAAGCTCTCATATTTTCATGTCTTATTTAATATAGAATACAAAATTGTATTCTATGGTCCAAACTTGATGGATTTAGAAAAGTCTCTAGTAAAAAGTTACCGAGTAAAGCGCTTAAAAGTAGTCGAATGCAAGGTAAAATTATCCACTGAAAAAAATGAAAGAAATCATAAATTAATTGATGGATAAAATAAATAATAAATTTTTTCCACGGTCGGGAGTAGAAATCAGTTTCTATGACATCAAAATTAAAACAGAAGTAGTCGATTATTTCCAAGGGAGTATAATGTCTCCCAAGGGAGTTTACATTATGGAGAACGTTTTTCATGCAAAAAAAAAGATAACATTGAAATTATTTATTGACATTTAAATTAAATGTTACATTTGTACAATTTTCAAAATTAATATTAGAAGGAATATTACTTTCGCTTACATTTACAGTTTTTGTGATTGTGCTAGTAGTGGTACCTACTAAAACCTGATTAGCAATTTTGGACTTATTTTCAATGGAGTTCTCGACATAACCCTCAGCGACTGTCGTTGATTTTCAACCAGCATGACGCTTTATTGTCGTGATATCCACACCAGCATCTGCCAGTAATGTCGCTGAAGATCTTCGTAAGCAGTGACCAGTACAACATGCAGCATCAGGTAATTTTAAATACGAAGCTACTACAATCGGAATTTTTCCCATGGTATTCTTGCCAACTGGCTGCGAACTACATTTTCCTGCTTTGTAGTACAAAAAAAGGCGCTTATGCTTGACGTGGGGAGGACGAAGGGACAGGTATTTTCGAAACAATTCAAGCATATTTCCCACATCGGTAACCACAAAGGTTCGTGGAATCTTTGTCTTAGTGTTTGGAATTTTTACAATCAAGGAAGAGCCTACATCCTCAATATCATCTACAGTTAAATTGACTAGTTCATCAGTTCGACAAGCTCCGGCAATCCCCAGAATTAATCCAACCTATAAAAAATCAAAATACTTAATAATTGAATTACCTAACAACAAAAGTAATCTTACCTTAATCATTAAGAATTCTTTGTCATCTGCACTTGATAGAAAACGGTTGATTTCACCCTTTGTCAATATTTTCGATTTTTTCGCTTGATATCCGTCACCGATTCTTTTCAAAAATGCGATCAGCTTGGGGAATTTGCTTATATCTATGTTGTCGTAAATTATCAAGCATGACTTAACCATAGAATATTGCGCCCATAATGTGGAAGACTTGTAATTCTTTGCATTTTCACTGAAGTATGCCAACAAAACATTCTCGCTGTATACTTGAACATTTTTCTCGGCGCACCACTTTTTGAACCGATTGTAGGCTATATCGTATAAAGAACTTGACTTCGTAGGCAGCAAATTGCTTATTGCAATATTTGCAGCCTCCACAATCTCTTCCGACAATTATTCATTGTGCACTAAACAAACTTTAAACTAAACCAAACTAGCACCTTAATTTGACAATTATTTTTGTTTGTTTATTTTGTAGTTATGACAATAACTCGACGACTACTAAATAAATGCTCAAATCCTAATACAATAATTCTGGTGTTACTTACTTCATAATGACAAAATATGTGTTTTAAGTTAATGAAACCGTGGAAAAAATAGTATATACCATTCGGGAGAGATGCTATTTTGTCCTCGGTGCATTGTAGCCCTCGGGCTTCAAATTGCACCTCTGCCAAAATAACGTATTTCTCTCCCTTATAGTATAATGTACTATTTCAGTCTTCTCAACTTTGGAAAACTCGACATAAATAACAACTACTTCAAAACTGTACACTAGAAAAACCCGTTTACTTTTTACTATGGCAAGCTAAGTCAGTTTAGAATTTTTTAGGGCCGCTTGTTTGAAAAATTCCCGGGCCGCTTTTTTCTCCAAGTCCGGCGCTGGCAATGACAAGTATTTTGTGACATTTATGCATTTTAAACAACGAACATTCCAACGACTACTTGATCCTTCCACCGCTAATGTGATTTTAAGGTGGTATTTCTTTAGAGACTCTTTAGGATGATATTGCTTATAACTTTTAAATGGGAAGTAATACAGAAAAATTTCTCTAATAAAAGTTTATTAGAAAAAAGAGCTTTTTAACAGGAAAAAAAATTGGGTATGTTTCTGGAAAAAATATAATTGATCACGTCATTAGTCGTTTCTGTCAAATCCCAAAGATAATACATCCAATTAAAAATGGAGCTTACCTTATCCCATTTAACACCACGCGTCCCAAATTTTATTTAAATTTTTTGTATCCTAATAACAGTTTAAACTCTTGTAATTTTAACCTATTTGTGCGTATATTTTACTTTTCGTTTAAATTAATGAAGAAATATTTGTCGATTTTATTTACAAGAGCTGGAAATATAATTATTTTGCCAATATTGCCACACATTTTGGCTCGTGGCCCGAAAGAACCATTTAAAAATAACGTGGAATTGAAAATAATGTTTACATTTTTCTGTACTATGTACCTCTTGAGTTTCTGCATACATTGGTGTACGTGATTGATATTTATAGCAAGCCGTACGTAAATTGTGTAATTCAGCAGTTATTTACAAAGTTGTCTGATGAATATCACATTGCAAATGATTCTTGGAATACTTGGAAATAAAAAATCGGTGATTAAAAAAGAATTAAAAACCAATTTTAAAGATATTCATAAACGGATATTACAGCATGCTATTCAGACTCGACATCGCTACAGCAATTAAAGCTAAAGCTAATTTTAACATGTTTAAAGTTAATTGGATAAATTTTATTTTTAGACTCCTAATTTGACCAAAAATAGCGGTCGGAAACTGACAGTATTCATAGTTAAACCAGCATTTTACAAACGTGAAAAGACTTACAAAAAAAATGGCAGCTGCTATAAAGCACCTTCAACTGACCCATCGTCTGGTCTCAAACATCAGCATGTCGGGAATGTTGGCCAGGACCATGACCTCTTTGTCCATGAGCCAGGCTTGGACCACGAAGAAGGTCGTTCCGGATGTGGTCAGTGATATACCACCCAACAAACTTGGGATTCAATATCCAGAAATAACCGTGAACGAGGGCAACGTCGTTAAACCAAAGCAGACAAAAAATCCACCGGCTATCTCATGGGGTGTCCAAGACGAGTCCTCTTTGTTCGCACTTTGCATGACTGATCCGGACGCGCCAAGTAGAAGCAAACCGACTCAGAGGGAGTGGCATCACTGGCTGGTGGTGAATATACCGGGAAATAGTATTGAAAAAGGTAAGAAACTTATATTGGAAATAAACTAATTAGTGTGTTGATATTTGTAAGTATAGGCGGCATCTGAATAATGATAATAGTATGCCATCAATTCCCCCACACAAGTTTCATTGTTGCTATTTTGGCGTAGTCAACACCTAAGTACTTTATTTTATTTAGGAGTATGGAAAAGGTCTGAATCAAGATTAAACTGTTCAGAAATAAAAGGAGAACCCAAAAACTTAAAATATACAGGGTGTTCCATTTAAAAAATAGAGGTGCCGCAATATACTTACCACCTTCTTGGGGAACCCTGTATATTTGAAAATAAAATGATTAAACGCATATTTTTAAGTAGAAAACCTTTTCTATATAACATTTCTTTTTATCTCGACTAGTTTGCAAGATAAAGTCTGTCAAGATAGCTCTGGGACACCCTGTATATGCCTGAAAATCGTTTTTATTTTCTCAAATTCAACACCCTGTATCTCGAAAACTAAGGGTTTATGAGCCACATTGCATATTACTTTTTCTATTAATTTTCGTCGTAGAATCTAGTGATAAAGTTTGGCCCATTCATTTTATGGGACACCCTGTATATTGTTTCATTAAAAACTTGCTTGCACTAATTATTAAATGTCGGTTGTTTATTTCCATCATGCCATGCCCTCGTCGCCATCTATTGTTGATATTTTTTATAAATTATTCAAATATTTGTTGAATTAAAGCCAAAATATTTAATTTCAAGTAGCAAATGAAATGAAATGTACGTAAATTAATTTGAGACCTTTGTTTATCGGTAGCAGTAATAAGTAATTATTTTTTTTGTCTTTAGGCGAGACATTGTCAGAATACATACCGGCCGGCCCCCCAAAAGACACAGGCCTGCACAGGTACGTTTTCTTCCTCTACGCCTATCCAAAAAAGATAAACTTTAACGAAAAGATATTATCCAACACTTCGCCTGAGGGTAGAGCCAATTTTTCTATAAGGAAGTTCGCAGAGAAGTACAATTTAGGGAAACCCATAGCAGGGAACTTTTTCGTCGCTGAATATGATTCGTATGTGCCAGAGTTGTATAAGCAATTAGGTTTAAGTTAGTATCGCTTTTTGTACTGAAAAATATATGTTTTGTTTATATACAAATGTGTTTATTTTCATCATGAAACTATTTTCTTTGTGTACCTAATCATGAATTTAGTCAAGTTAGCAAATTTATTTATTTAGATGTGGTTCCATTTGCTACGAAGGGAAGCTACTTCTAATAACTTTTCCAATAATTGCAATAAAAAGAGTGAAAAAAGCAATTTTATAATTTTTCTCGTCTCGAAACAATGTTTCGATTTTTTCTTATGTCATCTAGGTCCTAATACGTTTTTACAAAATTATAATCTATTCAAGGAAATTCGTCTAATAAATTTACCATCAATGTTATACTAAGTCATTGTTAACAGTTATGTTATCAATCTTATCATGTTTCTCTTAATAAAAATTAAGTTGAAATAACAACTTCTTGAACCAGATTAATCCGGTTAAAATTAACTGTCCATAAAGACACATTTATGCGCAGTGGATTCCTAGATTATATTTATATTTAGCTGTATCTACAAATTTTTATATACAGTGAAGCAAATGTTCTAACATACTTGAGACTCAAAAAGTTTCAAATAGAACTTTATCAAAAGTATTTGAAGTTTCTGATTTTATTGCTCCGTCTCATTCTGGAATAAACGTGATGTACTCAAATATTGGAAACCTCAGTTTGTAAATTTGGACAAAGAAAACTGTAGTACTTATAGTTGATTAGTTTGGGTATGCTCAACGAAAGAGTTTTTTGTTTTAGAACCAAAACATATCTTTCTAAAAAAAAATAATATTTTAAAAATATATAAAATAAATCGTTTATTAAAAAAGTTTTCGCTTTGGTTACTATGGAAAAATATCTAGCACTAATACCAAAACAAGTAAAGTGTAAAAATAGGTATTTTTAGCATTGATCATTGTTTATTAGCTTTGTTTTGGTTTTTTATTTCTGAACAGTCCAGAATCATCGCAGAACTATAAACTCAATAGACAAAATTCTGAACGATTCGGAACTATCCGGAGTTATTTGAAAACCAGAACGCATTACAAAAATATACTCGTAAAACCCAATAAAAAGATAATTTCTTAAATAAAAAACAGGAAATGAAATTATGAATGACAAACGGAGCTTGGGAAAATGGGAATAACTACGCATGCGCCAAATAATAACAAACATCTGTGAAATTCTGAACCGTTCAAAGTAAACACGAACGCATATTTCAGACTGCGCATGATTAGAACGGTTCGGAACCAGATTTTATGGGAACCAAAACAAAGCTGTTTCTCTAAAAAAGTATGTGCCCTTTGTAAACTTTAATTTAAACCCATGGTACGCGATGAACTCTTTGAAATTTTCTTAATTAACAATCTCGTCAATCGAAAACCACGCTATCTGTCGTTGCAAAATTTTGAGGGTAGCATTGACATATGTTTTACTATTTGTTCCTAAAGTTTCATCAATATTTATAAATATTTACTTGTTTTAAAAATTGCTTCAAATATACATATGATTTTCTGCTACTTTTTACCCATAGTTAATACAAAATTCAACTTTTTTATTCACATTTGTCACTTTATAGAAAATTGTCAAATAAACAAAAATAAAGAATGACTTTTTTTGATTTAGGGCTTATTTTCAATGTTACAGGGAAAAGTATGTCGAAAAACGTGTCATTTTTAGTTCTTTTTCTATGTTTGTTGTTCCCCTGCATTTATCAATGGTTTTTTGGAATAGGCAAACTCGGATTCTTATTCTACATAATATTTGGGATTTGGGATTTTTCTGTACAAGAAAATAGATGACTTTAAATACAAACGCCAGCCTCCTTTTACTGCTCTATCGCCTGGACTATAACAAATGTCTCAACACATTCAGTAAATGTGTCAAATTACGCGAGCGTGCAAAAAAAACCTAAAATACCTGTCATCGTTTTACACGTCAAAGTCAAAATGTGTACTTCGTGAATGTCAAAAAACAAAAGTGCAAAATGGCCACTATCAAACCCCTATATCAAATATGGGCAAAGAATGCTCCTTTACTGAGGCCGATTGTAAACCAAAATGCACTTGGCAAAAATTTCACCAGTCACTCGATGAGCAAAGCTTGGACCATAAAAAAGGTAGTGCCAAACGTGATCGATGACATACCAACATACAAATTAGGAGTTCAGTACGCTGTGGTAAATATCAACGAAGGAACAATAGTCAATCCGAGACAAGTCAAGGATCAACCAACTGTTTCTTGGAAGTTTAAGGAAAGATCGGAGTTGTTCGCGCTTTGCATGGTCGATCCAGACGCACCCAGCAGAAGTAAGCCGGTTCAAAGGGAGTGGCTACACTGGCTGGTCGTAAATATACCGGGAAATTCTGTTGAAAAAGGTAAAATAATGTGCAAAACTACAATTCAGCCGTGACTACTGTTATTTTTCTCTCTTGAAGGAGAAACTCTCGCAGAATATATAGGAGCGGGTCCCCCAAAAGACACAGATTTCCATAGATATGTTTTTCTACTGTATGTTTATCGAGAGACAATTAAATTTACTGAAAAAAAGATTCTGAAAACTTCACCTGAAGGGAGGCCCAAATTTTCCGTAAGGAAGTTTACTGAGAAATATAGTCTAGGAAGACCCGTGGCTGGCAATTTTTTTATGGCTGAATACGATAACTACGTTCCTGAGCTGTTCAAGCAACTGGGTTTAAAATAATTTTCCTTTGTGTTTATGACTACGCGTGTGTTATTTTTATGGAAATTTATTGTACTTTTATTTCTATCACCATCAGAGTTGAATGAGTACATTTTTTATACATCTGAGATTAAAGCATTACTTTTTCTGTAGAAATATGCATGTGTTCAACATTAAAATGCCTTCTTTCAAGGGCCAAAGGGAACCGATCGTGAAAACTGTTATAGCAAACGACAAAACCGCAAATAAGTCTACGGTAAAATCTACTTACCTGCTTAAAAACAATGTACGAGTATTAATAGTCTATAGAGGGAGCAGATAAAAACTATTTCATTTCAAAGGTTCGGAATGTCTTGCATTTTCTTTTCTTTATACTTTTCTACGAACAGTATGTTTTCCTTATTTACTTTTAGACATTTTCCTAATGTTTACCTAACTATACAAGATCCATAATTCGTTGGAGTTTGGCTCTTGATACGGTTTGTGATCTCAGTTTATGGAACGTCATCCATCTATACGCATTAGAACAAAAAAATATCGATGACAATGACAGTTCTGACACAATCGCGTCTTGAAGGCAAACCAAAGTGCTCATATTAACAGAAATAAAATAATTTGAAATATTTAATTATTAATAATCATGAGCAAGGCTTGGTCTTCGAAGCAGGTGGTACCAGACGTTGTGGACGATGCTCCTCCTGAAAAACTAACTGTAAAATATCCCGAAGTCACTGTCAACGAAGGCAATATCGCGAAACCAAAACAGGTGAAGAGTCCACCAGAGGTTTCTTGGACAGTAGAAGGCGACGCCTTGTATACCATTTGCATGACAGATCCAGATGCTCCGAGTAGGAAAAAGCCCTCTGCTAGAGAATGGCATCACTGGTTGGTGGTCAATATACCAGGAAATAGCGTTGACAAAGGTAAAAATTTTTGTCAAAACTGCTTAGAATATATAAAATCAGTACCTACCAGCACCAGTCAATATCTTTATATTTTATTATCATCTGTTAGTAACCTAGAAAGAGTCCAATGCACTGGAATTTATCAAAACAATTTCTAATAAGATACTAATTTTTAAAAAATGTGACTGTTACTATATCAGTTTCATAATTATATAAATATGACATAAACACATTCAGTGGCGTGTTATTCATAGACAAAATGATTTCCATCTATGAGAGTCCTACATGAAATTAATATTTCTTAGAATGGTCAGTTACAGAAAACTATTCCGGCTAAGATCTTTAATTAGACTCAGTATTCGTCAAACTCAGCTATTGGAGTAATTCTATGAATAAATTTTATATAAAACGATCAGCTGTTTCTAGAAGTTAACAAAAAAACTTATTTTCAGAACTGCATTTAACTTTTTAGGTGACACATTATCGGAATATGTAGGAGCAGGTCCTCCTCAGGGCACAGGACTCCACAGATATGTCATCCTGGTATACAAACAACCAGGAAAGATCAACCCCAGCGAAAAAAAGATCACCAACAGGCAAGGGCAAGGGAGAGGCAAGTTTTGCATAAGAAAATTCGCCGAGAAGTACAACTTAGGACAACCCATTGCTGGGAACTTCTTTGAAGCCGAGTTTGATGATTACGTTCCAAAATTGCATCAACAACTTGGATAATAATGGATATCTTTTCACTGCAAAAGGTCCGCTACTAGTTATATTTTACGGAATTAAGTTTTTGCACAATACTTTTGGTACCAGTAAGGTAACCGAATTTAGTCGATGTTTTGCAAGAAATTTTCTTTTCGTCTTTATATTCCTCGAGCAACTTTTGAAGTAAAGTTCATTCTGGAAATGTATTTTAATTTTTTAATATAAATATGAATAATGCTAGTTTACAATAACATTGTGAACCGGCTAACTCTGGTTAGGGTTCCAAGCAATGATAACCCTCATTATTTAATATCTTGTATTATCTTGCGAGGCTGGATGGATTGAACTTTAGTAAGTTCACCAAGTTCATCAAGTCTCACCCAGTATTATTAGATTATTCAAAAAGTACTTTGTATTATAATATCATTACTATCGTTTTATAAAAAATAACTTTTACGATGATAAATTTATTTTCATTTTTCTGGACAGTGTTAAATTTCAAGAAAACCATGTCTGGTGACTGATTTATATGAACAGCTTGTATCCAATTTTAGATGATTTACTCTTTTTTAATGGCATAGGGTAGCTGACCTGACAAATCCCAAAATATAACTGTTGCTATAAATACTTTATTCCAAAAGCAAATCCTTGTTTCAAATATAACCTACAGAATAATTTGAGACCTTCAGTGACGTAGGTAACCGCTGAGTTTTATCACTGTTTTTAATTAGTCTTGTATATTTTTAATAAAAAAAAATACTTCTCTTGTCTGATCATCATGATTTTTATGGGTGCAACAAATTAGGAGTAAAACAACACTATAGTAGGATCATATTCGATGCAAAGTAATAAATTATTGCCTGTCAAGGGAATAAGTGCAACACGTTTTAGGGGGTTTTGGAAATTGAATAATTTCTTTATGCATTATGGATTAACAGTTATATATTTATGAAGGACAAAATAAAAAACAAAGGCATCTCCTTCGCACATTGGGCGGCAGGGCAACAATACATTTATTACTCCCTTCATTCTCCCTCATATGACTTGTGTCTTGTGTTTTTTGCGGCGGCGCGCGTGCCGGCCTGGCGTGGTCAGTTTCGTTTCGGTTGTATTGGTGCTGCGTGTTTCTCGCTCGCGATATTTGTGAGGTTATAACTGTTATAAGTGCAATTATATTTCTTTCGGGCTATATGTGTGTTTCGCGCTATTATTTGAGAATTTGTGAGTGAAATCATATTTCTTGTGCTCCGTAACAAAAGTGTTTTTAGTGTTTTATTTGTGTGCTGTGTGTGTGTTTCGGGCTGTTGTTTGTGAATCGTGAATGCTATTATATTTTCTGTGCTAGTGAAGTGAAGTTTTTTGTATTATTATTGCTCTGTTGTCGTTATATGGATAAATGGAGGCGGTGCCTGGATGTTCGCGAGCCGGATGTACTGCTGTGGGTACAAAAAAATCTATATTAAGTTACAGAGAAAAAACGATAATATTAAATGTCTATAACCCTTTAGAAAAGGATCATCCCATGAAACTGAAGACTGGTTTGGTGGAAATGTGTTCTAGATATACTGGAGTAAGCGAATTATCTGTTTTCAAAATTTTAAGAGAGAAGAAAATTGAAGGAGACGTTAAGAAACCTAAAAAAGGGGGTGCAAAGAAGAAATTAATATTAAATGAAGATGAGAAAAATGCAGTTTGGCGTACAGTACATAAATCATAGAATTTATATTTTGTTTATAATTTGTTAACATTTCTTGTTTGATAGAAAAATAACTTATTTTGTTGAGATTGGTAGAGAATTGTTGTTAGTGTTTTCATTTGATAGAATCATATCATAGGATTTATATTTTGTTTTCATTCTGTAAATATTTATAGTATATCTGTTATACAAGGTTTTTGCTTTGAAACTTCGTTCTCCTTATAAAAAAAAGAATCGTAATGGGGTGCGATGAAGAGATCAGTTCACGTCTGGAACCCTGTTCCTACAAAAATCCCTTTATTCTCATAAACTATTTGTTTTAAATGTAATTTATTATAAATCCAATTCGTTATTTAAATTCCACATATGTACTACATTTCACCTCTGTACGCGCCACTGTTTATTGTTCCCTGCTCTACGATCAAGCTCGCCAGGTTAGTATTTGACGTATAACCGACCACTTAGTACACTCGATGCACCTGGCCGACTGCAGCTAGTACCAGAACACAGTGCATATGCAGCGGTATTTCAGATTTTACATTCAATTTCATTTTAAATTTAAAATGGTTCATCTTACGCGTCCTAAAAATGATGACACGATTTTCCTTTGATAAAAGGCCGACAATTTTTTGCTCTACTTTGCATCGAATACGATCCTACTATATGTATATAAATGGTATTGATTTATAGAGATTGAAGAATGAGATAAATGGAAATGTACAAAAAATACATCAAAATTACGTTCATTTTCATTTATTAGCACCCTGCTTTTTCTTCTCGTCCACATACGGGTCCCACTGGGCAACGTAGAAGTTTCCTGCGTAGGCCTTGCCTAAATTATACTTCTTGGCGAATTTCCTGATGGAAAAATTAAACCGGTGCTCTCTAGACATCTGCGGGCTTCTAGGCTCGTCAAATGTTAGCTTTTCTTTCTGTTCGTGCACCAGGAAAATGTATCGGTGTAGTCCGGTTCCTTTTGGAGGACCAGAGCCTCGATAGTCGGCTATGACATTACCAGTAGATACGTCGCTTCCTTTGATGTTACCGATCAGCCAGTGATTCACCTTGAAGATCAATGGTTGACTCAGTAGTACATAAAGGCAAACGAATTAAAGCAATACTAATAACTACAAGCAGGGAAAATTAAAAGGAAATAGTAATAAATTAAAAGCAAGGAAAACAATGTTCGTTATTATACAAACAACTATTCATACAGGACATTATGTTATAGGTAGCCTAGCGGCCCCTGTTACAATTACAGCAAAATTTGTCACTATTTATTAAGTGACTATTGTAATAGTACTAACTTCTCTAAATTTCGGATCCATTCTAGTGGGTGCATCTGGATCTACCATCGATAATACGTAATACTTTTCTGGATTAGCATCCCACTTTACTTCTGGTTCATCTTTAACTTGGGTAGGGGTCAATTCACCCCCAAATTCGACTTCCACACCACCTGGGTACTTTTTGGTGATTTTTGCAGATGGCGCCTCATCTATAGTGTCAGGAACTATTCCATGTGTTTCCATTTTCTGTTGAAATTGTCAGCATATATTAAACCAGACTCCTAAATAGGTATTTATAAAATAAATTTTTGGGGGTCAATTACAAACTAGTATAACCTTGACCAAACATAAATGATTTGAATATCAAACGTAATGATAAAGTGGTACTATAGAACCCTGTGGTGGCCTAGGTGAGAAAATAAAGATATTAAAAATGTGAGTGTGTATAAGTATGTAAACTTAATTAAAACAAATTTATTTAGAAATAGTAATTTATTTCTAATATTGAAATTAATTTCGTTAGTGAAAAATTGATAAAATACTTACAATTTGTTTAAAATTTATTGCAGTGTCATCAATAAAAGCATAAAACTGATACTATCGCGCAAATATGTAAATAGTAACTTGAAGAAAAGTAGAGGTTGCTGCTGGTTGGATGTAGTTTTAGTTATATACAGGGTCTTCTGAAAGTTTGTCAGGAAACTCCGGGAGGTGATTCTAGGGATTAAAATAATAGCAGTATGTAACGAAAATTTTTTTCGAATTGTTAATTGTTTGCAAGTTACAGCTTGTCAAGGTTCAATTTTTTATTTTTCTTTTTAAATAAGTTCGATTAGTATCTCATTTGGCACACCCATAAGCAGATCAAGCTCTATTGGACCAGTCAGAGAAAACTTTCATTATACGCCGCTAGAGGGCACTTTACCTAAAACTGAAAATTTGTTTCGTTCATAACTTTTTTCCAACGCTAGAAATTTAAAACATTATTGAAAAGAGAAACAATATCAGAAAGAATTATATACTTACTCTTTATTAAGCATCAAATTTTTGATAATAATTCTTCCTGTAATTAATCAAGTTGCAACGACAACAAATGTCATCAGTAATTAAGATGTTACAAATTGTAACAAAAATTGTTTAAAGCAAGTAAGAGTTTGATTTTTCATTATAATAATTTTCTTTCGGTTCTGTCATTGTGGAAAAATAAGATGAGAATAATGAATTTACTAATAAATTTTATTTACTAATGAAGCTGGTTTTACAAGAGATGGTATTCCAAATTATCATAATGCTCATAATAATCATAATACTAATAGAAAACAGATTTTAACTAATAAAGTATATAACAGATTTTCAATCCTATTTTTCACAACAAATGTTTGTAACGACCTCCATTCACTTCAATACTTATTATTTGAATAGGTATAAGACTTACCGAAGTCAGTTGAACATGTAAAAAACGCCTGGCAATAAAATTTAAAGACTTTCATCGGCGCCCCTAAAAAAGTTTTCTGCTAAAGGTAAAAAATTATAATAATTTGTATATAATGTGTAGAAAATTTCTATTATATATTCATTTGGCCACAATATATTTTAATTATTTATGTCCTCAAACAATTTTATTATATTGATGGTAAATTTTGTTTTGTTCCGTTTCAAAAGGTCTCCAAAATGCCATGTTGTAATAATATTAGTAAACAAAATATCCCTCGTTTCTCCCTTTCGCAATAATTGTAATATGAATGATTAATAGAAGGTGCCTATAATAAATTAGAACTACCTGAATCACACCAAATTCCGCATTGCTGCACTGCACTGCTGGGCAATTTGTGAACCACTTGTCAACAGCTGAGATTTATTGCCCAGTGGCCCAATGCAACTGTGTTTGGATTTCATTTGCCCGCGCTCGCATTCTTCAACTGGGCGTATACATTTCTACCACCTCCACGTTTAATTCGACCAGACCTGTATATGGGTATGGCTAAATAAATATGCGAACAAGTGTTTCAAATATTTCAATACCGAGTTGCTGCGTCAGCGACCGAACCTAGTATATACTGTCAACCTCTTGGTTCTTCAATTGATATCGCACTATAGCAACTATTCTGTTTGTAATTTAGTATAATCGATAGAAAATTAAACTTGCAAAAACAACTTAAGATCGTTCGCATAAAGTAATAGATATCAAAGTATTCATCAATTAGATCATTGATAAAAATAACAAATACGAGTGCTCCCAGAATTGACCTTTGGGGAACCCCTAAATATTTATGAAATAACTACGATAGTGTATAAATTGGTATATGTACGTGAGCGGCAAAAGTATGGAATATATTTATTTAAAAATCAGATGTTCGTTATTTGAAAAATCGCTCGGACCCGTCGAATTATATTTTTAGTTGCGCATTTTCTGAAGCAATTTTCATTTATACAGGGTGGCCCAAAAAAAAAGTTATGAAATCAAGGCCAACTTTTTTAAATGGAAACCCCACTTTTTTGTATTTTTATTCAATTCTCCATGGAATTCTGATAATTTTTTATGTAACATAACCTATACCTATCTTTAACCGTTTTCGAGATAATGGCGTCTAAATATAGAATATGGAAAATTTTCAAAAATTACCCTGAGATTTACCCTGCTGGTTTTAAAATAAAACCACGTTTACTTTTCCATCTTAGATTTGTGTGGTTCACAGAAAGTTGCTTCAAATCCATAAGAAATAAGTGATTCGGAGATTTATTTTGATCATTAGGACGCAATGACTTGAACGTAAAAAATATAAGTGAGGTATTTAGGTACAATTTAATTAAAAACGCATATTTTTATTGTATAAAATATGATTTTGTTAAATGTCACTATTTAAATTACGAGCCAGGTTATTTCGCAAATTTTTAGCAAAGAACCACTTATTTCTAATGGATTTTTCTGATTTGAAGCAACTTTCTGTGAACCACACAAATCTAAGATGGAAAAGTAAACGTGGTTTTATTTTAAAACCAGCAGGGTAAATCTCAGGGTAATTTTTGAAAATTTTCCTTATTCTATATTCAAACGCCATTATCTCGAAAACGGTTAAAGATAGGTATAGGTTATGTCACATAAAAATGATTAGAATTCCATGGAGGATTGAATAAAAATACAAAAAAGTGGGGTTTCCATTTAAAAAGGTTGGCCTTAATTTCATAACTTTTTTTTGGGCCACCCTGTATAAATGAAAATTGCTTCAGAAAATGCGCGACTAAAAATATAATTCGACGGGTCCGAGCGATTTTTCAAATAACGAACATCTGATTTTTAAATAAATATATTCCATACTTTTGCCGCTCACTGTATGTTCCTAAATAAGACTTACAGAAAGATAATAGAGCAGGGGAGATACTATATGATTCCAGTACTACTGTTAATGGATTGTGATTAAACCAAATCTTGAACTTATTTTAAAAGGTTTTTTAATTTTTTGAAGCAAAAAATTAAAGGCACTCCAGCGGGTTAACATTTGTTTATTCAGGATTTTCTTACAGTATCAACATAAGGTTCCCACTGCGCATGATAGTAATTCCCAGCATAAGCTTTTCCCAAGTTATACTTCTTGGCAAATCTCCGTATAGAAAACGATCTTCTGTTTGTTCGAGCGTCAGGATCGTCTAGTTCGTCGAACGTCAATTTTCCCTTTTGTTCGAAGATTAAAAAGATGTACCTATGAAGCCCAGAACCATTTCCAGGTTTGGAACCTGTATATGGCATTATTACTTCACCAGTCGTTACGTTGGTACCCTTTATGTTGCCAACTAGCCAATGGTTGATCTTAAACATCAGAGCTAGTCAGAAAATGTAAAATATATGTTTTCAATAGTGAATGATTGATAAAATATTTAACTTAAACCTAAATCTTAAATTCGAATCATGAAAAAAGCGAATTGGCAGTGGCAAAGTCATGTTGTTATTATAACCTATGATTTGTTTTGCACAGATAGTAATTTTTTAAGTAGATATAGATATAGATAAATCTTTATGTGACTATGGCCAAATATCTAAAAAGAGTTTTAATAACTTTTACCTAATTTCAAAATACATTATTTATCTTAATAAGAATTGTACCTACAAAACTGGATTTACTTATATGCTAGATAGATAAAGGAAATGGAATATCTCGAGGATCATCAAAATCGTGTTTATTTTCATTAGTCGGTATTCTGTTTGTTCCTCTCTTCCACATACGGGTCCCACTGGGCAACGTAGAAGTTTCCAGCAAAAGCTTTCCCCAAACTGTACTTCTTGGCGAATTTTCTGATGGAAAAATTAAGCCGCTGTTTGCTGGATGTCTTTATGCTCCTGGGCTCGTCAAATGTCAATTTCTCTTTCTGTTCGAACACTAAGAAAATGTATCGGTGTAGTCCGGTTCCTTTTGGAGGACCAGAGCCTCGATATTCGGCTATGACGTCACCTGTAGACACGTCGTTTCCTTTGATGTTACCGACAAGCCAATGGTTGACCTTGAAAACCAATGGTTCAGGTTGTAAGGTAGGTAAAGGTAAAAGAGAGATTATTAACACGCGATTAAAGCAGTATGGGTAACTGAAAGCAGTAAGGAACTATCAGGAAGTGATGTAAATATAAGAGGAAGAGGGGAAACTACTACTATACAACCAGCTATACCTACAGCATATCCTTGTTACAGTTTAGTAGCTCCTGTTGCATTTGCAGCTAAATTTGGCGTATTAATATGATTTTATAAAGCAGTTATTAATTAATTGATATATTATGGCAGTACTGACCTCTCTAAATTTTGGATCCATCCTACTGGGTGCATCTGGATCTACCATCGATAATAGGTAATACTTTTCTGGATTAGCATCCCACTTTACTTCCGGTTCATCTTTAACTTGGGTAGGAGTTAATTCACCACCAAATTCAACTTCCACACCACCCGGGTACGTTATGGTGATTTTTGCAGATGGTGCTTCATCTACAGTGTCTGGGACTATTCCATCGGTTTCCATTTTCTGTCGGAATCGTTAATATCAATTAAACTTTGGTTTCTGATTAAATATTTACATAAACTTAACACACGTAAACTTAATCAAACTTAAATGTAGTAACCAAAACGTTTTGAGTGCCAAACTAATGATAAAGTGGTAGGTATGTGAGAATTTATTGATATACCTATAGGTATCAATTATTTTTCCGAAAGAAATAATAGACTGATATGAAATCATGAAATAAATACATAAATGATGAAAATATGTTGAGATAAAGCAGAGAACTCGGTAGTACACCTGTTATCTATTGTTAAAGATGTGTTGTTGTTGATAGATATACCGTGTTGATATAGTTTAAATGGAGTGTTTGTCACCTTTTCGTATATCATAAAACGAAATAATGTAGCAAAAAATTTGACCCACATTTTTTATTTTTGTATCAAATCGTTGCCTAACTTGTGTGACAGTGGTATGCTTAATTAGCCATTTTTTAATAAGAAGTTCAACTAAAATTTCATACCACAAATAACAATATTTCTGTAATCTATAGGTACTATCTATACTGATCTATATTAATATTATAAAGAGGAAAGATTTGTATTTTTGTATGTATGTATGTTTGTTACGAATAAACTCAAAAACTACTGGACGGATTTCGAGAATTCTTTCACCATTAGAATACTACATTATCCCTGAGTAACATAGGCTATATTTTTTATATCCCAAAATGTCTAAAATAAATGTCCACCCGTGCGAAGCTGGGACGGGCCGATACTAACTTATACACAGTCTAGTACGTCACAAATCCTTACAAATCAAATAAAAATTTATGTAAGGAGGACTACTGAAATTGCCTGTACAGTTCGCTTTAACTTTCATTATAGAATGGTATTCAATGATAAAACACTACGCATTTTTTTATGCAAATATCCCATTTCATCAAAACTAATGACAAAGTGGTACTAGAATAGGACCCTGCGGTATATCTAAATGAAAAAGTAAGAGTATTTAAAATTTTGACGAATGTAAGAAAATGGACAAACATGAGCATATACAGGATGTCCCACCGGGAACTGCGTCTATCGATAACTAGGAAAGTACTGTTCCGAAAAATTTGAAAATTTGGCAACATGGCAATGTCCCTAGGGCGAACACAACTAAATTATCTAGAACTCTCCAGCACTTCCGGTTATACGGGAAATCGACACCAACTTCGTTATTTTAAATGGGACACTCTATACAGGGTTTTCAAAAAGTTTGGAACCCCCCCTCTATCTCAGGAAATACTGCTCAAACAAAAAATGATTAGGACAAAAGTGGCAGGGTTTTGAGTGAGTAATCCAACGGTCATATCCGAACGTAAAAATTTCCATTTTTTTGATTTCCGGGGTCAAATATATACGGTTGCATTTAAATTTTTCAGGTTGACCTCTAAAAGACCTTGAAGGTCATGGTCAAGGTCATGGTTAAGGTCACATTCGAACGTAAAATTTTCCGCTCTTAGCATTTCCAGGGTCAAAAGTATACGGTTCCATATAAAATTTTCAACTTGACCTCTAAGTCACCTTCAAGGTCATGGTCAAGGTCACCTTTGGATTGCTCACTCAAAATCCTGCAACTTTTGTTCTAATAATTTTTTTGTATGAGCAATATTTTCTGATAGAGGGGGGGGTTCCAAAGTTTTTGAAAACCCTGTATATTATTGCGTTTTCGAATTCTACGTGAAATTTGAGGGTCGCTTTATTAAATATTCCCTATATAACTCCTAGAGTTATAGATTTTGAGATATTAATTTTCAAAGAAAAAATTTGACAGATGCAAGGGTTCGCGGAGATGCTAGTAACTCTTTTCAGGAGCGTGATATGAGCCAAATGTTTGATACCTGTAAAGGATATAGGTAACGCTAACTTATGGTATACCAACAAATTAAAACATTTAATACTAGGTGTTTCATTTTTGCTGTTACATTTTGATAACTTCAAACAGCTATAACTTTGTTAACTTAAATGGAACACCCTGTATTTTTTTATTTTGTCGTATGTAGACTGAAATATCCTTTCAAGCCATATAAGCATTGTTAGGGTTTCCGTTACTACTTTTAGAGATATTTGTAATTTTCTATTTTTTGGACCCTTTTTCCGTATCAGACCTGTTGTCAGATTGGCCATGACCAGAATAGTCCAAAACAATTAAAGCAACATGACATTTGTCAAGTTAGTCAATTTATTGTTATGTGCGTAATAGTTTTTGCCTAAAATTTAAATAAAAATGCTGGGGATCGTTTAAATTATATTTATGAGGATTATTTAATTTTGTTTATTATTTATGAAAAAAAGCGGCATGTTCTCTACATGTTCTTGAAATTACTTTACCACATTTTCCATAAATAACAAATAAATTAGAATAATCCTCATTAATATAATTTAAATGATCCCCATGCATTTTTATTTAAATTTTCGGCAAAAACTATTCAGACACAATAATCATTTGACAACTAACTTGACAAATTTCATGTTATTTCAGTTGTTTTTGGAGTGTTTCTGGTCATGGCCAATTTGACAACAGGCCTGATACGAGAAAAACTGTCCAAAAAATAGAAAATTGCAAATATCTCTAAAAGTAGTAACGGCAACCCTAACAATGCTTATATGGCTTGAAAGGAAATTTCAGTCTGCAGACAGAGTAAAAAATACAAGGTGTTCCATTTAAGTTACTTATTCCCTTTACAGGTACCAAAAATCCGCCTGATATCACGCTCCTGAAAAGAGTTACTAGCATCTCCGCGGACCCTTGCATCTGTCAAATTTTTTCTTTAAAAATTAATAGCACAAAATATATAACCCCTAGGTATAGGGAATATTTAATAAAGTGACCCTCAAATTTTACGTAGAATTCGAGAACGCAATAATATATAGTGTCCCATTTAAAGTAACGATGTTGGTGTCGATTTCCCGTATAACTGGAAATGCTGAAGAGTTCTAGATATTTTAGTTGGTGGGAACAATAGACAATACTTTTATTCCAATTTTGAAATATTTAATATCTGAGAGGTAAAAAATACTTACAATTCCTGTAAAATGTTTTTGAATATGAACAATAACACTGTTGTCAAGCTGATATATTATTATTTACACTGCTTAACTGTTTGTTCTACAAGCTACTTAAGATTATTTTAATTTATGAAGTTCCTTATCAAATAGGTAAAATGGTAATAACTTTGAGAAAGGTAGAGGTAGCTATTTTTATGTTCGTTTCACGGAAATGTATGAACATAGGTGCCTAAGTGATGTGCTAAAGAAGTATAAAGTTTATAACTATATTTGTAGTAATATCTTTTACAAATTATCACATAGTTAATTATTTTTTTAATAATCATCAAGGACGAAAATTTTGTAATCTTTCGAAACTGTGCAAGTAAGAATTAAGGTTATATAAGTATAAAAAAATAATGCAGATTTTTCCATATAGGTACCTACCCAAAATATTTTATAACCTTTCTTTTTATATAAATATGTATGTAGAATAAATTGAAATAATTAAATCATTTTATAACTGTTATAATAAATTACATTTACCTTAACACAGATCAACGCCCACAAAAATCATAAATCTATGAGTAATACCTCCGTTATTATAATATTATGCCTGTCACCTTGAATTACGATTATAGAAGGATTTATAATTATTAATTAAATAATTCTAAAACACGTATGTGATATAGTGAAATGATTGCAGTTTACTAAATAAAATAACAGATTGCAGTGATGTCACAATGTTTCTATTATCAGTAGATAAAAAAATGTGTTGTGGTTTTATTTCTATGTGGTAATTTTAAATGCTTATTTCCGTTGTAATAAATAATATGAGTGATATAAAATAAAGAAAATGATTGACTAATAATATTTTGAGAAACAACTACTCTCCGGATTACAGACTCCTCCAACATGTACACTCGCACTGTCTAGTAAACAGCAAAAATAATTCGTCGAAATGAGGTCATATTCATATATTTTTTGTGGAATATAAAATGTTCACTATAAAACTGCATTTGCATTTCTTTGAAGTGTTTCAAAAACAAACATATTAAAATTATAAGTTATATTCTATATGCCATGGAGACAACCGGATACTAAAATCTGAGAGTACCTATTAAAAACAGATTTTTCTTTTGTTTTGCGTGTTATGAAAATGGCGAAGTCATATTTTATTGTCCATTTTTTTTATTCTAGCTTTAGAAATAGTAAGTACCTATAAATCAAAACAAATAACTTTCAGCTTTCATCAATTTTTCAGAACAAGTGAAATTGTAGGTACATATTCATTTAAAAGCTAATATTAAAAAAATTAATGAACTAACTGTATGAGAATAAATTTTTGAAAAAAAATTATGCAATCGTGATTACTCTTTCAGATATATTGTAAAATTGTGTTGTATAAAAACCTCATGGACAAAAATGAGAACGAAATAATTCGATATAAACATATGACTTACCTCTTTTACGTTAACTGTAGTTTTATCTGCCGTTTCAGCTGAAATTTCAGCACCCAGCAAAATGGAAATGAGAATAATTATCGAAAACATTTGTTGTTCTTAAAAATTGTTAGCACAGTACACTATACCTACTTCTATTAAGTACTACATTCCTTTTATTCTGCAAAATGAAAGTGGTTTTAAAATGTAGGAGAGAATAACATGCAAGGTGTGTATGGCAAGGATAAGTAGATAATTATGATTTATGAAAGAAAAACGACATTCACAGTCACGAAAGTGATTTTATGAGTTTTAAAATATAACAAATAGCTATTTTGGTAGATGTGCTTTAGAATAGGGTCAAGCGGTTACCGTAAACATTCAAAATGAAGATATTGTAATTTATCAACTGGATCTATATAAATGGTAATAGATAAAAATGTTTTATACATTTCAATTTATAAATACGAATTAGTCAGGTACAATATAAATTAGTTTACTTAATCATTAATTATCTAATCCGTTTTGATTAATTTTGCATCAGTAACGAAATATTTTTTTTAAGAATCACTCAAAGATACAAACAGATCTGCAACTCTAGTAGCTATGATTTTCGAAAGGTGTCCCTACACTCCTTACCCACTGCCGCCATCTGTACCCAACTTAGTAAACTTAAAACTATGCCTAGGTCACAGATTAGAAAAAGGAGTCGAGGTTAGATAAGTTTATTTTTTCAATTTTCTTTACAGTACCTACCCACAACACGGTATTTGTTGTAAAAATAAATATATGTGTGTATCTATTTGAAATATTATTACCTATTTTTCATAATTGTAAAAACATTAATATAAAATAATAAATTGACAGGTATGAAGTGACAGCTGATAGCTGTCATCACCAGCTGATATTTGTTGTTTTGACATTTATTTGTCATTTATAAGCTATTTTAAAATTTTCATGAAAAAATTTCTAGTTGACTAAACAGTAGCTTTAAGATGAACGAACCTGATGGAAGTTATTGGCGTTTTTTACCTTATCCGGCGTTAATCAAGATATTTAAACATTTAACTTACAAAGATTTGATTGCTGCTGGACAGGTATGCAAGTCTTGGTATCAGACAAGTTTAAACGACTTGTTGTGGAAGGAACTGTTCTTCAAGAACTTCTTAGTGGACAAATCAGTCCCAGTAGTTTCAGGTCAGTAAGTTGTTTTTGTTCCTCGCAGCCACATAAACTTCTTATTTATTAAAAGGTAAATCGTGGTATGGAGAATTTAAAAGGCTGTGCTACCATATACCAGTTGTTCAAACAGAAACTCTACTGGACCATGGTGATCAGGTTTTACACGTGAGCTTTTCTCATAATGGAAAGTATTTTGCTACTTGTTCCAAAGATGGATATGTTATAGTAAGTACAAAATGGTTGCTTATTTTAATCTATAAATAGTATCTTATAAGTAGGTGTTGAATGTTTGTATGATTTATACGCCTCACATATTTGAATATATTTTTTCGTAATCGTTAATTGTAGTTATGGACTGCAAAATATCCTGCCAAAGTCAAATATACAAGAAATATGAAATATTTTAAGTGGAAATACACGCAGTACTCCCAGTTCAATGAGTCGGATACTTTATTACTAGTATCGGGAGTTCATTTTGGTACTACTCACAGTACGTCTGGAGAAATCGCAGTGTTTAATTTAGGTACGTCTTAAGTTTTATTGAAAATAAGGCAATTCATTTTGTATTTTCAGATCACTTCGAATTACAATGTAGAGTAGTAAACAAACCCTACGACATTTTCGGCACTTGGTACAGCGATCAGTATTTGTTGTCCGGAGACCTACATTGGCTTGCTCATCTAGTCAGTAGTTCCCACTTGTGGCTCAATAAGGCTTCGCAGGAAGCGGACTCTGAATTGGTCCCCATAACTCACTGTCTTTTTAGATTTTACAATAGAAACGCCAGCTCCATAAGAGCGATAATGATCGCAAATTGCCTTCCGAATTCTGAAAACGCTAGTAGTAACAACGGAACTGAGAATAACGATGCCAATTTAGATGACGAAGGCAGCTCTCTACAACACGGTAATCCTGTTAGCCATAAAGATATTAAGTGGATTCCTTGTGACGTGAGAAGAGGTTTGTGAAGTATCACGATTATTGTTTTGCCCTTTGACTGTAAATTAGTTTGATTTTGAAGATTTTATAAAAGAACGAAAAGTAATTCATTCACAGTGATACATTTTTTATAATCTCGGTAATCCTTTTATTGCTCGTTATAATATGATTAGCTTTTGTTTAAATCTCTGTTATCTGAAATGATACGATATTAAATTTTTAAGAATTCATAACATTTATTTTACAATAGGGTGCCAAATAAAAAATGTTGGCTTAAAAGTTCATCACTTTTAGGATACAGTCTTTGAAATAAAAAAGTTTTTTATATATTTCAAGAACAAATATAAAATTCATACTTCCGCAAAATTTGGTACAGCAAAACCTGCATTTGGTTTTCGACCACTACAAACATGTATTCGACTTGTTCTTGTGCAATTGCTAATAATTATACTCTTAACATGGTGTCTTTATATTCAATATGTTTCCCATTCAATCATTCCATGATTCCTCCATGCGGATGCTGGTAATTTGCCCATTCGTTTAATATGGTAAGTGCATGATCCACAATAATCTATGCACTATGTTCGATGTGAGGCAAAATAAATGCCAACCTTTTTTGAAATACTCGTCTGTCCTTATGGTAATCTCTTGTTCGTTGCGTTTGGAACATCATTATACAGAAACCCACATTGACTTTCGATATGTGTAATTATTAATTGCCGTTCTTATCTAGATGGTGCATTTACTCTTGTAGAAAATCTTTCTAAAAATACTTGTCTGCTGTTGATATTTAAATTGTTGGAGATCATTCCTTATTTATCCATGTTTCAAGACAAAAAATTTTCGTTTTCCATGTTTCTAGATACTCTCTCTATCATACTACAATTTTGTTCTTTTCTGTGAGTGCCACACACGTGGATTTTTAAAGTATATGTCCCTTCGTTCATGACCATCTCAATGATGCTGCATTTTTTTGAAAAAAATTTCAAATAAAAGTTGTTTACAATTAAATTTCCTACAAAATTTTATGCGCTTTTTAATAAATAAACCGCAGAAAATCCGCCCCTAAGAATAATCTTTTTTTTTATATCTCAAAACCCTGTTGCACGAGAATCGCTAAATTTGGACACAGGGGTTTTATGACGTGGAATCTGGTGGTGCTATGCTTTTTGGCAGGGAACCCCCTTATGACAAATTTTCGTGGGTCCCCTTGTCTTTCGAACCAAAATAATTTCGTCACATACAGGTATTTAAATTTCTTAAAAATTATTAGTCCGCAAGAAAGCCATTAGTTTAGAAACTTTTTTATCACTTGATACTTTTTCCGTAAAACGCAATGTTTTCGAGAAAAATGTCAAAATGTGATTGAATGCATATCGTGATTCGCTAGTACGAAAAAAATATCAAGAGACAAATAAGTTTTTAAATTCAATGGCTTCCTAGCTAACTAAATAATTTAAAAAAAATTCAAATTGCGAAAAAAAATTTTCGGTTCCAAAAACAAGGGGGCTTACGAAAAAGTGTATTAAGGGGGTTCCCCACCAAAAAGCATAGCATTATCACATTCCGCATGTCATAAAACCCGTGTGTATCAAATTTAATAATTCTCGTACAAGGTTCTAAAATATAAAAAAGGCTATCCTTAGGGGCAGCTTTCAGGGGCTGTAACTTCGAAAGAGGGGGCTACTTGGAAAAAAGAAAAAATACGGGTCCCCTAAATTTGTCTTAAGAATCTATGACTAAATTTTGTTGCATTAATTTCGAGACAACCTGTATATTCGAAAAGCTGTATGTTGTTGGTGGTTGTGTGTTTTCTGACTTCAAAACTTATACTTTTCTACAAAAAAAATCTCGGAGTAAAAAAATTCGCTAATTTTTTTCTTATTTTTCTTGAGTAAAATGAAGTATTAGTGGTATCATCAGTATTAAATGTAGATATTACTGTATCAAATTTTGTGAAGCTATTACTGATTTTTGGGTTATCAAAAAAATTGTATTCTTTCGTAAAAAATCAGAAGACTCTTATTTTGGGAATGGTGCATTTACAGGCCAAAATTTGTATAAACTTTTTCTCTTATTTTGCATTAGGGAATGCTCCTTTAAAGTTCGTCTACTTACGCGCAGATCACCCTATAAAAGCAGAATTTATAGTAGTATTATTATAGTCAAGGGTTTTTTATATTTCAAAACAATTCGATTGGTAGATATACCTGTTTTTTCGTTTCATATATTTTGTCAGCTATGGCTAGTAATTTCGAAAAGATGAGGAACACCAAAGACTTCCCGACCCCCATCTGGTACAATTCCGATTACCGCAAAGTCGAATCGGAGTTAAATCCAAATGACGACAGCAACGATGACGAAGAAATGAACATAGAAGAGAAGCCCAATGAAGACTTCGAAGATGATGTCTCCGAGTGTTCCATCGAAACGGACTCCGATAGGTTCGAGCAATATTTTTGCCTTTGTTGGCATACAACGATTATTTTTTTATAGGTTTGTAAAGAATGATAAATATCTCATCTTCACAACTGGTTACAAAACTTATACCCCTCACCAAATAGGCTTCAAAAGGATACAACCGTTCATTTTTCCCAAAACCATGGATCCTGGACCAACATTGAAGGAGAGGTTGATATTGTTCGAACAGAGAAAGGAGCAAATGAGGTCCGGTAGTCCCCCTCCTGATCCAAACTGGTTGGATTTCGAGCAAGTCGCAGATAAGTTCAACAAAGTTGACCATTTGATCGACCTTCACGGACATATTGTAGGGATGGGGCTAAGTCCCGACCACAGGTTTGTTTAATCACGAAGCTCCAAACCATTACCACCTTATAGTATAAAGGTTTACATCTGAAGCATTGTCGTTCCGTGATGTCACTATCTGCGGTTTAGTCAGTCTAATATTAGTGTTGTGCGTGATATGCGTTTTTTTTATAAAATTTCCAGTTGTTTTGAAAATTTAAAACGGAATGTAAATTTGAGGATAGGCGGAGTAGATAATCTTGAGTAAATGTTGCGGTGCTAGGCCGGTAAATTTCGATAACTTCCATAGTAAAAAAAGGAATGTGCTTTCCTCCCGTTTCTTATTTATTTATTTATTTATAATCTAGTAATACAGGGTGTCCCGAAATTAATGCAATAAAATTTGGTCATAGATTCTGAAGACAAATTTAGAGGAACCGTATTTTTTATTTTTGCCATGTGGCCCCCTCTTTCGGATTTACAGCCCCCTGAAATCCGCCCCTAAGAATAGTCTTTTTTATATCTCAGAATCATGTTTTAACCTTCTTAAAGTACATAGGTAATTGATTAAATTTTTAAAAATTAATTTTGTAATCTGATCTCGGATTCGTGATCAGTGACCCCGAAAACCCCCGTATACCAAATTTGGCGCGAATCTGTTCATTTTTGAAAATTTGGTCGGCCATCGTGGATCCGCCATTTTGAATATTGCAAAATTGACCTCGGATCCGTGATGAGCGACCCCGAAAACCTCCGTATACTCAATTTGGCGCGAATCCGTTATTTTTTTAAAATTCGTGATATCTGATTGACACGTTTTTTTAGGTTAGAAAAAGAACCATCAACTCTGATCACGGATTCACGTCCGGTAGGGTCTTAACCATATAAACGAACATTTGAAAAAAAAAAAAGTTGTTTGTACTTTTCCTAGCACTTTTTTGCTATTTTTGACCTATTTTTTGAAGTTAGGAAATTCCTGTGATGTGATAGCTCAATTCTGACACTGGATTCGTGATTAGGAGGCAAAAATAATAAGGATAACATATGTCGCATGAAGAGTACATACAACTTTTTATTTTTTGTGTGGCTGTGTGATATGGGATGGGTGGTAATGACCAATCACTAACACAATATTTACTTTTTTTTTCTTCTAGATATCTTTACGTGAACAGTCGTTCATGGCCCGAAAATTACGTGATAAGCAACCCTTTAGATCCTCCTCCTATCGCACAGGAAATCGACATACACGTGATAGATTTGGTGACATTGCGACAAGTAGGAACTATGTTGAGAGCTCATAAAGCTTTCACGCCAAATAACGAGTGCTTTTTTATCTTCCTGGACGTTTGCAATGAGTATGTAGCAAGGTAAAGCATCAAGCATTTCAAATTCGCCAATAATAAATCACTACTTCCTCATTTTTTAGTGGAGCGGAAGATAAACACGGATATCTGTGGGATAGGCACTACGGCGCGTGTTTAGCCAAGTTCCCACATGTGGATGTGGTGAACTCGGTCGCTTTTAACCCAAAAGACCCCGAAATGCTAGTGACGACTTCAGACGATCACATGATTAAAATTTGGAGGTCACGGGGCAAGGTGAGGGACTTGGGTTTGGATGAAGCACAGTTTCAAAAGGGAATAGAACTGAGGAAGGGTAGAAGCTTTGTGAATAACAGGAGGTTTAGATAATATTACGAGCCACTTGCGTATGGTCAGAGAAATAAATAACACGTTCGCGTTAAGACAGCTAGAGCGATGTTTTCTCAACTGAAACGTTTTAAATTTAGAACTGCCATTTGTTGATGTGGGAAATAAGGTTTTCCGTACCGTATTCTAATAGCGGACTTGTTGAGAAGGGTGAACTTTGTTAATATGAAGTTCATATTTTTCGAAGTTTTTTTATTTATTTGCGTGTGTGTGCGTGTGCAATATAAGTATATTTTTTAATATTAATATAATAAAGATCCTCATTTAATTTTGAGCAATGCCTATTCATTTCGTTGCTTTGCAACAAGCTACAAATACAATATCAATAAATATTTGGAGTTACAATACCTATTGCATATTTTATTTTTTACTAGCAATTTCTCTGAATTTTATAAATCATGTTTTGATCTTGTCTTCCTTTTCAGACATTTAAGGAAATCGAAGATACGATGACACTTTATATTTATTTTGAAAAGCTCTTTCGGGCTGGGTCAATTTCAACTAGAGATGGACACTTTTCGGAAAAGTGTGTTACGGACATGTTGATGAAATGTCCGGACATGTCGGAAAAATTACTTCTGAATTTGATAAGGCACTTAAGAGTGACGTCATGTTTTCATAGGTCACTGCTTGAGGGAACACAAAAGAAAATATGACTTTTATTTTAATGAATATATTTTACTTATTACCTACCTTTAGACTTTTTTTATAAACTGGTTTCTAATTTTCCCCGGACAGCCAATACACTTATTTAAATGTTTTTCCATCCTACTGGAATTCATAAAAATTGTTTTTGAGCAGAAGTTACATTTATAATGATTTTTACTCAATTCAGAAAAATACAACCAAACTGTTGATTTTGGCGTCATACTTCATTTATAAACTATTTGTGTATTAAATATTAAATTAAGAATCAACTGATTACTATTGACTAATCGTTAACTTTGAAAAAAATAATCAAATATGGACATATAAAAGAGGTTATATTTTTAAAATGTCAGTTTCAGTTAAACAATTACCAACAAAATTCATGTACCAACCTCAAACATTTTTTGCGGGAATTATGAATGCAACAAATAATTCCGCGCATACAACTTTTCAATTTTAAGAAGTGTCCTCAGGACATGTTCACTTTTCACGACATGTCCGCGGCACATCTCTAATTTCAACACTTGAGGTTTTTTCGTGTTTTCCAAAGAAATTGGCAAAAAGTATAGATGGTTTTCAGTAAAGATTCCATCTCAATATCTTGATTTAAGAAATTCGATCTCAATATCTTTATTTATTTAAGAGATCCAGTATATTTTTCATTTTTGGTAAATTTTCTGTGATATCGAATAGATCTGAAATTTTTTTTATAAAGCACATTTTTTAAAAATTATCATTTTTTTTGTGAAATACAATGGTGTATGCGATTCTCTAATTCATCCAAACTTATTGTTTTAATCATAATCCCATACAGGGTATAACTTTGAATTAAGGTTATACAAGGCGATACAGAACTCATCCAAAAAAAAAAAAATTTGAAAGTGCAGTAGACTATTACAAATACAATTTTGTAAAAAAAATTAAAAAGTGCAATTCAAAAATGATTTTAAAAATACACTTCTGCATGGCACTGGAAATTGTCCACTGTAAAATCTGAACTTACGCAAGGCAAAGCATGCAGTTGTAGACCGGCACAACGACAAAGTGTAATAAAAAATGAACGGACCAAACACTGAAAGAATTTCTTTCCCAAGGAAAGTAATAAATAAAATTTTAGAACACCTATTTTATATCAGCAAATTCAACTGATTTTGCCGTTATAGTTATTATTAATTAATTAAATNTTTCCATTTTTTTGTGGAATACAATGGTGTATGCGATTCTCTAATTCATCCAAACTTATTGTTTTAATCATAATCCCATACAGGGTATAACTTTGAATTAAGGTTATACAGGGTGATTCAGAACTTATCAAAAAAAAAAAAAAAATTGAATGTGCAGTAGACTTTTACAAATACAACTTTGCAAAAAAAAAAACAAAAAGAGCAATTCAAAAATGATTTAAAAATACATTTCTGCACGGCACTGGAAATTGTCCACTGTAAAATCTGAACTTACGCAAGGCAAAGCATGCAGTCGTAGACCGGCACAACAGCAAAGTGTAATAAAAAATGAATGGACAAAACACTGAAAGAATTTCTTTCCCAAGGAAAAAAATAAATAAAATTTTATAACACCTATTTTAAATCAGCAAATTCAACTGTTTTTGGCGTTATTGTTATTGTTAATTAATAAAATTAATTTATGGCTTTAATTAATAAAATAATTTGACATACCTAATGTTACAACTGTTCAAAATTTTGTCTCCGACTTGTAAATGCATTTGGTCTCATCTTACCCGGTTTCTACAAACTAACACAAATGTTGTCTTGCTTCATCATAAAACAAATGTTGACTTGCTTCACCATAAATTAAAACGATATCCATCAACTCCGCGTTGCTATACACGTAAGCCATTTTTGACATGTGAAAAACTAATGTAAACACTATCACACAACAATAATACAGGGGTCATACTTCAAAAATAGTATTAGAATTCCCTCACTTTTCCCTGACTTACAAAAAAAAATCCAGGTCACTTGTACTTCATTTTTACATATTAGTTGATGTTTACGCCTTAAACTTTTTCAACATGGGTATCTTGAATTGGGTCCTGGTGTGATAGTCGGTTAAAAAAAGGCTAAAAGAAATGGCAGTGATTTCTTTCTTGACGTTTCGTTCCTGATCAGGAACTTTTTCAAAAGGTTTTTTATTGTTAAAATAAATTAAAACCTAAACAACAACCATTTTACGTTAAAATTTTAAAACATACATCAATCGTCATATTGTGAAAATGTGTCCACTATATTGATGCATGTTTTAAAATTTTAATGTAAAATTGTTGTTTATGTTTTAATTTATTAATTATAACAATTTTAACAATAAAAGCCTTTTGAAAATGTTCCTGATCAGGAACGAAACGTCAAGAAAGAAATAGCTGCTGTTTCATTTATCCTTTTTTTAACCGACTATCACACCAGAACCCAATTCCCAAGAGAATAAATATATTTTATTAAACTTTCTCTAGACTGGATTCCATAATCTTTTTTATAATCAAAGAACTTCTTATAAAGGTTTCAAAACCACAAATAGTATTCTCTTTCAAGAACCCAGGGCCTGCTTTCACAAAATTTCCAGTAGTAAATGTCAAATACTTTTAAAATTCCCTGACTATTCCCTGTTTTTTATGGAGAATAATGAATTCCTTGACATTTCCCGGTATTCCCGGTTTTCCAGGCCCCTATAAACCCTTTAATACTAAAATCGGATTTCAGTATTCGGAATCGCCGGGGTCCAATGACACTAGAGACTACAGTAGCCCAGCGATGTAAAGGTTGAAAATACTACAACTTCAATATTTTTTTTTCTCGGAAACCAACGATTTTACAAAAGTTTTTTTTACGAGATGACTCCATTTTTCATGACGCATCTATTCTCAAATTTTTGTGGATAAGTTGTGAATCGTCCTGTATTTATAGAAAGGTTGCCTTTAACTTTGAGAAATATATATCGCAAATTTATGGAAACATCCGCTTTATAAAGACAAGGAATTTTCATAAATAGAAGTTATTTATACTGAAATACAAAAATTGAGAAACACCTTGCATCTTTTAAATGAATCAAGATATTGAGATACAATTTTCAAAGTTTATTCTTTTTCTTTTCACAAGATACGAGAAACCTCTCGAAAGTATCAAAATTGGCCCACTTTGTACATTATTCATAGTTTTAAATTTTTTTGATTGTTTTAAACTTAAGATATATATTTAATATAAGGAAAACAAATATTTTGAGATTGTCATTAAAAATTATATGAAAGAATTGTATTAAAGTATATTAAATTTCCATGTTTTGTTTCATTTGTAAATATTTTTTATTATACACTGAAAGTTTTTTTTCAAAAAAGTAATATACATTTTTTTTTGTCGACACCCAGGATCTAGAAATAAATAAATGAGACATAAATATCTTATATTAACAGTTAAATACATATCGAGGTATTTTAAATAAAATTAACTTATAAATTTAATTAGTCACATTGTTATACTGCATTTAAAGACGTCTTGAGTCCATGGTGTAGAGGGGGCTAAATGCTTTACTTGCCTCAAAACTAATAATTTTAATAAATAATAATAATAATATTTATTAGCCAATACTAAAAAAAATTAACAATTTTCACAAGTGTATACCTACATCCTCTAGCTCCGTGTCAGTACCAACACAACACCAAGACACACATATTCAAAACAGAACGGAATACAAAATTTGGTTACTAAAATACTTCAAGCACATATTTCTTTAACATACTTTTAAATTTAATATGATTATCACAATTCTTTATTATATCTGGTAATGCATTAAACATGTTCAACCCCCTATATAAAATTGTTCTATTCAACAACCCAGTTCTTGCAGTTCTAATAAAAAAATCTCCATGTTTCCTTGTGTTGTACGAATGAATTTCACTCACATATTGTACCTTATTACACAAATATTTAGCAGTTGTCTGATTTTTTATTTTAAACACCATATTTAAGGTCTTGAAAATTAATCTTTGTTTAACATTCATTAAGTTTAACACCTCCAGCATTAATTTTATCGGTGTATAACGATTACATTTCAATATAGTACGCATAGCTTTATTCTGTAATTTTTGTATTTTACCTAACTCATTTTGACATAATCCGAATAAAATTGCTGAACAATACTCCACATGGGGACCAATCAATGCTTTATACAACAGGATCCTAGTATTCATAGTAATACTATTACTTATTCTATTTAATAGGTATACTTTCTTTGAGATCTTATTCAAAATGTAATTGCAATGTTTTTGAAAACTCAATTTATCGTCCAAAATAACCCCTAAATACTTCATTTCCCAAACTCTTTCAATATCATGATCATTTATAGTAATTCTATAATCTACCTCATTAATTTTATTCATTACACTGCCCCTACCCATATATTTTGTTTTTTCCAAATTTAACAGCATACTATTACTAATAAATATACAGGGTGTCCCGGAAATGGTGGGCAATCTCTCGGATATGGATAGATAATGAGAAAATAATGTGACAAGTTCATATAAAATTTTTTCCTCCGGGCTCATCCTGTAGAGTTATTAGCTCTTGAAGTTGAGAATTAAAAATGTTTTTTTTTGCTGTAACTTTTGTATTTTTCAATAAATTTTGAAAATGTTTTGGCTGGATCTATAATGTTTGAAACTGTTTTGGATTATAATATGAAATTCTCGATAATAATTATGGGGGCCCGGGGGCAAAGCACCCATCACCAAAATTTCTAGAAAAAAATTTTTGTTCCAGTATACCCCAAATATTCCATCATTTTATAAAAATTTATGGTATTTTACGTAAAAAAGGTATACTTGTTGAATATCCATAAAATACATATTTTTTTAGATAAACCCGTTTAAAGAGGAAGGTACCATTTAATTTGAGACATTTTATTTAATTGAAACACAGATTTAACACGTTGACTGCGGTACATACCCCGGGGGGTATGTACTCATTATAAAAAATATGCGAATCTCAATAATCGCATTTTTACTGTATCTTGTGGAAGTTGCAGAATGTGTAGTTTTTAGAAATAATGATTTTTCTATTATTTTCTTTTCAAAACTCTTTGCGAATGAAAATGTTAGTATCCTAGGATATATAGTTACAGATACATGCAAGTTTATAGCAATAATTGTGTTATTTTTAATTTTATAGGGTCAAATGTAAAAAAAATTACATATCCCCAGGGATATGTACCGCACACAGAAGAAGTTTTGTTACATATCCCCCGAAGATATGTATCACAGTCACGGACAAAGTACATTGAGATTATCTCGCAGTCAACGTGTTAATCGTGGTTGGCTTTGACATGTCAGAGTATGCCAAAGGCAATTAAATTGTCAAACTTGTCAAATACGTAGTTTTAAATCTAAGACTCATCTAATAACTCATAATTTGTTATAAAATATGGAGTATTCCAATGAAGAATATGCTGACATTCATTTAATGTACGGGCGGGCTCTTTGTAATGCTTCGGCAGCAAGAAGATTTTATCAGCATTCTTATCCTAATAGAAGGATTCCAGATAGCAAAACTTTTGAACGTATTGATCAAAGATTAAGAGAAACTGGTAAAATACGATTACTATTATTAAACAAAATGGATAAATTTTAATGTCTTTAGGTCAGTTTGCTCCTGTTACTACAGGGGTGCCCCGCGAACAGCATGTACAGTTGAAGTAGAGGAAAATATACTGGACGAAGTTGCTGCTCATCCAACAGTTAGCATCAGGTCATTATCTTCTTTTACCAATGTTCCAAAGACCATTGTTGCAAGAATCCTTAGAGAACAGCTTCTTCACCCTTACCATATCCAAAAAGTGCATGCTCTTAATCCTGATGATTTTCGTGCAAGAGTACAGTTTTCTCAATGGTCTCTTCAGAGACATGAGCAAAATCCTCTGTTTACGAGATTAATTCTGTATACCGACAAAGCAAGTTTTGGGAGGAATGGAGTTATTAACTCCCATAATTTACATTATTGGTCTGATGAGAACCCACACCCTATTATTGAAACTAGGCACCAAAGACAATTTTATGTTAATGTTTGGAGTGGAATTATTGGTCCTTACTTATTGGGTCCCCCTAGACTGAATGGTCAACGTTACCTAGATTTCCTTGTGCATCAATTACCACAACTGTTAGAAGATGTTGATCTTGAAACCAGAAATGCACTGATATTCATGCACGATGGGGCGCCGCCTCACTTTAGTGCTGCAGTAAGGGACCATTTAAACGAGGTATATCCTAATCGCTGGATAGGTCGCGGTGGACCTATTCATTGGCCTGCCCGAACTCCAGATATGAACCCACTTGACTTTTTCTTTTGGGGGCACTTGAAAAATCTTGTTTATTCCACACCTGTAACCACTAGAGAAGAATTAGAAGAAAGGATTTTTTATTGTGCAAATGAAATACGACAAAATCCTGAAATGTTATGGAGAGTGCAACAGTCTTCTGTTAAACGAGCTCGTATTTGTATAAGAGAAGGTGGAACTAATATTGAGAATTTATTATGAATTATATTAGTTACAAAATTTTGATTGTCATGCACTTTTCGTTTAGTTAGTTTAGTTAAGTCCAAATTCTCATAATTTGGAACACTGCTATTGCAAATTATTTGTCCTTTATTCTGATATGTAAAAGCCAACTACGATTAAACCTGTGTTTCTGTTAAATAAAATGTCTCAAATTAAATGGTACCTTCCTCTTTAAACGGGTTTATCTCAAAAAATATCTATTTTATGGATATTCAACAAGTATACCTTTTTTACGTAAAATACCATAAATTTTTATAAAATGATGGAAAATTTGGGGTATAGTGGAACAAAAATTTTTTTTCTAGAAATTTTGGTGGGGGGTGCTTTGCCCCCGGGCCCCCATAATTATTATCGAGGATTTCATATTATCATCCAAAGCAGCTTCAAAAATTATAGATCCAGCCAAAAAATTTTCAAAATTTATTGAAAAATACAAAAGTTACAGCAAAAAAAACCATTTTTAATTCTCAACTTCAAGAGCTAATAACTCTACAGGGCGAGCCCGGAGGAAAACATTTTATATGAACTTGTGACATTATCTTCTCATTATCTATCCATATCCGAGAGATTGCCCACCATTTCCGGGACACCCTGTATAATATACTAATATACTAATAAATAAATAATAAAAAAAAAACACCTTCCTGAATTTTATCAGTCCTGCAGCAGAAAAGACTAAATTAATAATTTATTACAAATATGTACTTAAAATTGATTCGAATGTGAGAAATTCTAACAGCAAAAAAATCAGTTAACAGATTCTTTCGAATTTCAAGTAAATAAAAAAGACAAGTTGTTGGTAGCCCCCTCTATAAATCAATCATGAGTAGGAATTGGGTTTTTATATGTATCAGAGAACAAATATCTAATTATCGATAGTGATGGTTTGACTGGAATCGGGGTGTACGGTAGCCGAACCGCCTCCGTCTGAACAATCAGAACCGGGGGGCTGCCGGTCCCTTTTCTTCCTTTCTACGTGCCCGTGACAGTGGTCACACTCGTCTTCGGATTCGTCCGACGAGCTCTCCCCAAATTTCCGAGGCTTTTCAAATATACAACAACCTGTAAAACGGATTATGTAGGTGAAAAATGTCAGAACTGGGTATATATAGGGCGTAACTTTTAGCAGAAGTCGGAAAGAGAAGAAAACCAATCTGGGATTTTTTTTTTAAATAAAAATAAATATACAGGGTGTCGCGTTTAAATGTGATACAAGCCTGTAGCTTCTGTTTTTTTGACCGATTTAATTTTTTTTTTTTTTAGAATGTAGGATAAAAAAAACTGGAACTGTGATACTGCTGTTTTTATTAATGCAATTCACGGCCAACTAGGACGTGTTTTTTTGACGTCAAAATTAGAGATTTTTTTTTCCAAAAAACAGATTACGTATTCTCATTCAGCATCCCTTAAAATGTCTTATCACCAAGTTTCATCAAATTCGATACATCTTCAGACGAGTATTAGTTGGCCGTGTATTGCATTAATAAAATACAGCAGTATCGCAGTCAGATAGTTTTTTTTTACCCTACATTTCATAAAAAGAATATTTTAAATCCGCCAAAAAATAAACAAGTTACAGGCTTGTATTACATTTTGCCTGAAGATGTATTAATTTTGATGAAACTTGGTGGTAAGACGTTTTAAGGGAAGCTGAATGAAAATACGTAATGTTTTTTGCAAAAATAATCGCTAATAGTAATCAATGTTTTGATGTCATGAAAATGGGTCCTAGTTGGTCGTAAATTGCATTAATAAAAACAGCAGTATCACAGTTAGATAGAGTTTTTTTTTCCCTATATTCCCAAATAAAAATTTTTGAAATTGGCTAAAAAATGAAGAAGTTACAGGCTTGTATCTTATTTAAGCGTGACACTCTGTATATAATAAATTAAAAATTGTCTACACCGTCACTGAACAGTTTCCAAACTCCATTGAATACGTGCTTATCAGAGTTGGCTGTTATTACATTTTTAAACCAACTGTATGAAGCTGACAGAGAGATAGGGAGCAAAACTGCAACGGAAAATAATTTGTGACATGTTCTTTTAAAGTCACCATATTTTCTTGATGTCGATATGGACAAAACTGACTTATTCTTCTGACACGGATCTAGTGTTCTAGTGTTCAGTGGTGCTACAGTGTGTTTGTGTGTCTTTACTGTTAAATTTCTGTTCAACATTATGAAAAAATATTTATCCAAATCGAGACAATGAGATTTTAATGTTTCTAACGCTTAAAGGTAGCCTCTGTAGGTTACACCTTTAATATCCCTTACTGTACTTACATTTTGATTTTTTTTTATTCAAATGTTCATTATCAACAGTTTCGGTACTCCACTGGACTTTTCTGTCAGTCCTAGGCTTTCTTAATTTGAGGGTCACTCTCGGTACTTGTTCCTGCAAAGTAAAAAAAAAATTATCAGTAGTAAAAGAGTATTTCGTTATCAGTTAATTTTTAAAATATGAAAATATTATACCCTTGAATTTAAAAAGGTATTAGCTGTACTTATGGACCAATTTGAAAGAAATGAACTTAATACTACATTCAAGGTCAAATTAATTATTGTTTCTGTGTACAGTAACTTAATATTGTTTGAGTTGAATTAATTTATTCATTGTCTAAGGAATTTTTTTTAAACAGTGTCAAACCATTTACAAGATTTTCATTTTATTTTATTTATTTTAGTACAATGTCACAAAACATTTAAAACTCCTTATAAAATAATACGCACAATTAATTAAAATCAATGAATGATTAAAATATAGTTCTGTAATCAGTAAATCGCTATAAAATTTTACAATACGCGCAAATGTGATTTTTGTGATTCAGCAAAAATATATTTGCATTCGTTTTATCAAGAACTAGCCTTTATTTTTTCTTCAACCAATCTTTTTTTTCTTTATACTGGGTGTTTCAAAAAGGTGTTGGCAAACTTGATAGGGTTATAGAGAACTTTGTGAAAGAAAATTTTTGTATATAACTCCTAGTTGGAAAAGAGCAGTTTTGGCCCTGGAGCAATTTTTATCCAATAATGTATTGTTATTAGGTTGGCTCCAAAAGGCGTCGATACTTAAGTAATTTTTATTAAGGCCAACGCAAAAATAATAAATTTATAATTATTCAAAATGACTTGTGGTCGGTTGTTCTTTAGTTCGATGCAAAACCTCTTCCTCAACGACCACTGTGTGTGCAGTTCATGGATGTCAACCTTCTACATCTGGTTTAAAGTTATCTTTTTCTCTTAACTGACGACGGATTGACAAAAATGTTGTTCGGTGAGGATGTCGGCGATTCGGAAAGCGCTCAGCTTCTCCAGTGTTGTTTCACGTGATAAGATGCATGTTGTTTGGTCCATTTTAACAACTTAGAAGCAAAATTTCACCGCAAACAAAACAAATGTGAAACATTCAATTAGGTCCGATCATTTATTACATGACAGCTATGTTCATTTGTTTATCTGCTCAGAGCGTGACACAGATGACATTGCATGGCCAGATTAGATGTGTGTAATCACACAGTTGTAGATAAAATAAATTTTTACCAACATCGTGCGTAGGGCATGTAATTGCTAAACACTTATCAGAAGAGATAAACGTGTTTATTTTGTTTCAAATCATTTTTTGCATTATCCTTAATAAAAATTACTTAAATATCAAAGTCTTTTGGAGTCAACGAAATAACACTACGTTTTTGGACAAAAATTGCTCCAAGGCCAAAACAGCTCATTTCCGACTAAGGGTTTATATGAAAAATTTTCTACCACAATCCCCCTCAAGTTTGGCAACACCTTTTTGAAACATCCTGTATTACTTCTTTAATACTATACCATTGTTTTTCATTTATAAAATTGTTATTTTTTGATTGCCTATTACGACTAATCTTTAACTTTTTTAAATTTCGATCGGCCACTTAATATGACCATTGATATTAATTCTGACACCAGGAACTGTAAAACTAGTGGAATATTAGTGCCCTGTATCTCAAAAACAAAACATTTATGGACTTACGTCCATATAAACTTATTTTTTATATTTAACCAATGAATCAATTATAGAATTTCGCAACACCCTGTATAAAAGAGTAAAACAAATTTTCAATTTTGTATATCAGGTATGAAAATAGCCTTTATTCAATTCTATATCATATAAAAATATATTTAAAATTAAGATTCCTAAAAAATAGGCCATCTTTTTTTGGTTTCAATGCACAATATTTTTTCCTTTCAACAAATTTATTTTTTCCTCACTGAAACCTAAGATTTCTTTCAAAACTTCCACCGTGTGTTGACCTAAGGTCGGAGGAGGTAATCTGACAAAGTTGCCGCTTTCACTATAGCTAACAGGGGGACCAACTACTTTAACGTCTCCAGCAATAGGATGTTTTACAGTTTTTACTAGATTTATTGCTCTAATATGTGGGTCCTCAAACGTTTCTCTTAATGAGTTTACAGGTCCGCAAGGAAACGCACTACCTTCGAAAATTTCAGTCCATTCCTTGTTAGTTTTAGTTTTCAAAACTGAACGTAAAATGCCTACGAGCTCTTCCCTGTTCTCAACTCTAAGCTTATTTGTTTGGAACTTTTTATTTTTTGACAGATCGGCTTTCCCAATTCTGTTACAAAAATCAGTGAATTGTAAGTCGGAGCCAGCTCCAATGGTGAAATATCCGTCTTTGGATGGGAATGCTTCGTAAGGCACAATACTTGCATGGGCAGTGCCCTGTCTGGTAGCTTCTTTACCAGCATTCAGGTAATTGGAACCAATGTTTATCAAACTAGCGACTTGAGCTGAAAGGAGGTTGCAGTCGATTTTCTGTCCTTGGCCAGTCTTGAATCGTTTTATTAGAGCGGCCATGATTGCACCATGGGCGTATAAACCTGAATATAAATAAATTTACGGTGTCATATTAAAAATATTAACTAAACGATATCTTTCAATACTTTCTAATGTTTCAAGAAATGTCCCTTTTTTTGAAAGTTAATTTTGAGAATATAAATTTTATTTGTAAATTTCAGATACCTGTAATTAAGTCTGTAACAGCAACCCCAACCTTAACCGGTTCTCCATCCTTAGGACCCGTTATATGCAATAATCCTCCCATAGAGGCAGCTATAACATCGTACCCTGGTTTATTTTTATAAGGCCCTTCTGAACCATACCCCGTTATCGAACAGTAGATCAAGTGCGGTGCTACTTTTTTTAAATCACCATATCCAAGTTTTAATTCTTCTAATTTGCCCGGGACATAATTTTCAACAAGAACATCACTTTTTTCTGCCAAGTTATAAATTATGTCTCTACCTTCTGAGCTTTTCAAATCAATACAAACACTCTTTTTGTTCCGATTAACAGCAACAAAATAACAAGTTTCAGTTGTATTATTTATAAACGGCGGTCCCCATTTTCTGGCTTCGTCACCTGCTCCAGGCCTTTCTATTTTCAAGACTTCTGCCCCCAGGTCACTTAAAATCATAGTACAATATGGTCCAGCGACTATTCTCGTCAGGTCCAGGATTCTTATTCCATGTAGTGGTGAATTTTCTGCTTCAGTAGCAGTATGTGTGGATTTTGAACATTTAAAAATAAATCGATTTACGTTGTTGAGTGAAAATACACGCTTGTTCACAGAAAACATGTTTACAAATACCTCTCCAGTAGAATATCACTTGCGTAATATATGTACGTACCTGTTCCTCAGTCTCCACCACAGTGACGGTAGATGTAGTACAATCTTGCTGCTCTTGAAAAGCTACCGCCTCCGCCATATTTTTGAAGTTATTTTGCTCGTAAGTATTCGCCATTCACATCACATGAGACAACTACGTATTTATTTTATGTTTACAACACTAATCCATTCAGATAAGATAGAAAGTCTGCTGACCCATTTGTAAAATAAACTGACATTTTTGACATATCAATAACTCCGAAAATTTTGACAACGGAATGGTTGGTTACGCAGAGATCTATCTGATCGAAGGTCGGCGCGAAATATGATCTGTTTGGTTTTCAGTATTTATTTGAAATGTAGAGATGCATCCCCTAATTAGCTATTTTGTGGCTGTGTTTATGTTTATATATCTGTATGTAGAATTTTTTTTATTTATTTCAAACTAATACCTATGTACCATTCAGGGAATATGTAGGTTATTCAGGCAAATTTTAAAATATTCAACTAATTTTAACGCGATATTTGAGTCCAAAGGTTATTTATTTTTATATCCAACTTAGAGTTAATCTGATCAACATAGATAAGAGCACGTAAAATTTGTTGTTATTTGAAATATGAGTAATCTGAAATTAGTGTTTGAAAGTAGAAATAGCAAATAAATTAATTTGATTTTTTTGTTAAATTTGAATTAACTTTACGTTTTATTTTAAATTCCGATTTAAATTCATGTAAATTATTTAAGTTTAAAAAAGGCTTAAAATATATATACATATAGATATTTTTATTGCATTTTTATTTAGATAAAATTTTAATTTCCCTGAGATTATTAAGAACAAAGCATTAAGTACTTCATGGTCACTAATGAACCTGTTTATTACCTTATTTTGCACAATCTCAGATTATAGATTAGGTTTTTATTAAAAAATTGTATAAACAAGAATTAGCCATAAGTGCCACAAATTGATAACATAATTTATTGACGCAGTTTTTAAAAATCCCTGTTCCCGCTTTTCCACTTCAATTTACGATACAAATGAGTAGTAGAACTAACACATGGCAGTTGAGCTATTCCCGTTCCGATATAATGTTTATCTTGCGAATAGTTAGTTTATTACCGTACAATTATATCTAAGCCTTAATTCATGTAATAGCAGTTTGTCTTTAACAATTCATTTATTATGTGAATTTGCTTAAACAGTTAAGTTTGTGTTAACAGTATTCAAATTATATGACATTAATTATCGATAGAAATATTTATAAAATAGGTAAGTATTACTCTGCACTGTATATGTTCATTGTTAAGTATTTAATAACCGAATGGGCAAAGGTTAAAAATTTCTGGTTGTCGCTAGGTGGGGGCGATTGGGACAATTGCAGAGATTTATTTAAAAATGTGTTTGATTATTTATATTTTATGTGATAAAAGTAAATAAGTTATTACATTAATCAGTGATCCTTATAACTTTTTACTCTTTTATATCCGTAATTGTTAATTATTAACCTCTGCACTTCCTATATGTGTTTATAAAAAATTATTAAGCACCTTTAAAATTCATAATACATTATTCGATTTTTCCAATGAAATTCAAATTAATTATTCACTATATTAATTGGTAAGTTGATATGTTATCTACATAGAAATATACATAAATAATTTGTACTAATTGCAATTTTTCTAGTTAGTGTTTGCATTCAGTACAAATAATATTTTTTAATCGTTTGGATTTATTTTAGAGCGTTGGTATACGAAAATAAAATTTAACAAATATGACGAAAGTAAAAACGTAAACTGTATTTCATAACTCAGGCTATAAACTGTTAATTTTGAACGGAAATGATTGGGGATAAATAGAATCTATTTTTATGCAACCAGTAATTCTGTGTATCTAATATATTGGTCATGTCTTATTTTTGAGAGTAACTAGTTTTAATTAAAAAGGCTTTACCACAGATTATTATACAATTAATTGGTCGTCTCACAATATAGTCCCAGATTTTGTTTTTTGTAGAACGAATAATAGGAGTAGGTAGTTGCTCATGCGCCCTGAGATTTGGGACTTCGGTCGACTAACTGTTTAATAATCTGCGGCTTTATTAATAATTAACATGTGGATTTTAAACCTGCTATACAGGGTATTTTTCGGATTATATCATAACTTTAGAAAATCATTTTAAATCAAAATAAGTAAATATAACATTTACTGAAATATTTCTGTACGTGTTTGAGGTAGATTGATAAAACTTATTAGGGTTAACTAATTATAGACAAAGATTCTTTAAGTAATCTACCAACCAGTGGCAGAGTTACTAGTGGTAGCACAGTTAGTGTGTGGGATGATGAGACAAATTTTATAATTTTTTTTGTATGCAATTTTTTCTACATCCTAAACCGAAAATATGAATATTTATCATATTTTGCATAAAAAAGGTACTCCTGTTAGATTTTAATAGCATGAACATTTTTCTAGTAACATCCAACAAATGTATCAAATTGTGTTATGAGAAAATTACTATTCTTGTTTAATTTCTCTTTTGTATTATTATCGTTATTTTAGTTTTTATATAACTGTTACTAAATCAGGGTTTAATATCACAAAGTAGATAGTTTTGTAGTAAACAGTAACATAAATAATTTTGAATAATAAAAATGTTATTACTATTATTTTTATTTGAAAATGAAAAAATACATAAAAAAAGACCAAATTGTAAGCAGTAATTGACATATACTTGACATCTTTGTTAAATGTCATATACAGGGATGGCCAGAAGTACGGAATAAAATTAATATCTTTTGAATGAGTTAATTTTTTTTAAAACGCCTAAACACGTTAACTGATATTGATTTTTTCCCATCTTTCGGTTATATAATAATTAATTTTTCTTCAACCCCCTAACCCCCAGCTACCCCTACTTTTTTTTTTCAAATGGAAACATAAGGCATGAGGGGGCTCGTTGAAAAGCTTATAGAAAATCGAATCCAGCCATACCAAATAAACAAGTTTTATTTTTTCAATAGCAAGGTTTTTAGGGTTGTATAAAACACCTACTTAACAAGTGAAATAAAATTTAATTATCTTCAGTGTTATCCTCCATGAATTTGCACAGAATAAAATAAAGAATTTGAAACTGTACCTATCACTGCTAACGCAAAAAAGATATATTTTTTATGTTGCGTTTTTTTGGTACCACTTACTTGCCAGGCTTTCTGGTTAATTTTTCGCTTTAGTTGTAAATTGGAGTTCGAAACGTTACTATTGTGTCAAAATCAAGTTATTTACTGAATTGCAATGGTATTGTCGGAAAGGCAACGCATCGAAATCTTGATATTGCTTGGATGTGGAGACAAAATAAGAAGTCAGGCTGAAGTGCGCGATTTATTTAATGCGAAATATCCCGAAAACCAAATCTCGCAAGGGACAGTTAGTAAAATATTTCACAAATTTGAGGAACACGGTACAGTACAGACTTTGCCCAAAACTGGACGGGCACGTGCTTTGAATGAAGAAAAGAAATTAGACATTGCATTAGAACTTGTTGAAAATCCTCATACTTCAACTGTTTCATTGGCCCGCAATCACGATGCTTCTCGAACTGCAATTCGAATGTTTCTGAAACAAGAGAAATACCACCCCTATAAGGTATGTCTTGTCCAAGAGCTTTTGGAAGACGATTATGATAGGCGATTACAATTTTGTGAGGAAATGATGAGACGGTGTGACGACAATAATGGTTTTCAACGAGACGTACTTTTTTCGGATGAAGCTACGTTTTATTTAAATGGAGTGGTTAACAGGCACAACTATCGCTTTTGGTCCCAGGAAAATCCACACTGGACATGCGAATCGCATACGCAGCATCCACAAAAAGTTAATGTATGGGCAGGTATCATCAACAACAGAATCTTGGGCCCATTCTTTTTTGAAGAAAATCTTACTGCCGCACGCTACCTGGATTTCCTAACATTTGACCTGATACCTGCTCTAGCTGTGATTTTCCCTCATGAAATTGATCCAGATATACCGAATGAAAGAATTTGGTTCCAACAAGATGGCGCTCCCCCACATTTTGGTATTGATGTTCGAAGATACTTAGATGAAATGTTTCCAAATCGCTGGATTGGTAGACGGGGTACAGTTGAATGGCCGCCAAGATCCCCCGACTTAACACCCCTGGATTATTTTCTTTGGGGATATTTGAAAGAAAGAGTCTACCAGGACAGACCGGATAATATTGAGAATTTAAAGAACAAGATTAGGGCGGAGATGCATAATTTACCAGCTGAAGTCATTCAGAATGCTGTGGACAGCTTTTACTATCGTCTTGGAGAATGCCAAATAGTGAATGGAGGACATTTTCAGCATTTGCGACATTGAGTTTATTTTTGTAAATTATCTAGTTGTTTCAATTTCTAAATGAAAAAAAAGACTTGTTATTGAAAAAATAAAACTTGTTTATTTGGTATGGCTGGATTCGATTTTCTATAAGCTTTTCAACGAGCCCCCTCATGCCTTGTTTCCATTTGAAAAAAAATAGGGGTAGCTGGGTGTTAGGGGGTTGAAGAAAATTTAATTATTATAACGTGTGTCGGCATTTAAAAAAAAATAACTCATTCAAAAGATATGAATTTTATTCCATACTTCTGGCTATCCCTGTATAATAATTTTATCATGGCACAATTTAATACATTTATTTTCAGCAGGAATTGTTGAGTACGTAATGAATTGTTGAAATGGTTTTTATTAGAAAACGGCTCATGCTACTAAAATCTAACAAGGTAGGGTAAGTAGGTTAGGTAGGTACCTAACGAGTACCTTTTTTATGTAAAATATGATAAATTTTCATAATTTCTGTTCAGGAAGTAGAAAAAATTGCGTACAAAAAAAAATGTAAAATTTGCCCCATGGTCCCGCATTTTCTTATACCCCTGTAGCAAATTTTGATTTGTATATTATGCCGAATATTAAGCATATAAATAGTAATACAATCCCAAAATTTCGCGAGTTAATATTAAACCGTTTTGAAGTTATGCAATAAAAACCTGAGTTACCCCTTCAAGGGGCTGTATCTCCGTTAAGGACCGCCACTGACAAAAACTCTACTAAGGTTTTCATCATATTTCGACATGTTTTACATACTCTCCAATTTTGAGTACTTACTTCGTTAACACCTTGTATATTGAGCACAATACTTTTGGAAGAATATTAAATTTTGAAATGACAATGTCAAAAGTGTTGAGAATATGGCTAGATTAATATGTTGGTTTTTGTCAAAAGTAAAATTAGAACAAGAATATGTTTCTTTGAAATTTTATATTATTTAATGAGATCACGTATTTTTTCTATTAATAAATAATAGGTACACTACGCAACAAAATTTTTCAACGAAATTTTGCCTTTTTCTAATGCGGATACTGGCATTATTCCTTAAAAATATACGAATAACTTCAAAATGGCATAAGTCGGTCAAAAAAGATCGTATAAACTTGATTTTTTTTTCAAATTGAAAGTGCATTTTATGATGGTCTATGCGTTATTTTCGAAAAAATCGGGACGATCTAGGTGATGCGTCAAGCAATCAAATCTTTTAAGAAAAAAGTGCTTGGGCTTTATCAGGACATGTAGATGCGGCATCGACTCGCATCCATTTTAAAGTAAAGACAATTACCTAGAAAGTGAAAAAATCGTCTTGATACGATGAAACTTGACGAGCTATGCGCATTAGAAAAATGGCAAAATTACGATGAAAATTTTGTTGCAATAATTCTGTTGTGAAGTGTATTTAGAACATAATTTATTATTTTTTATTTTAGATAATTATTATTTACTAGCTATTTACTAGATATTGCTGATATAATTCAGTGCTATTGTATAATTAGAATTTTAGTACCATAGCAAAAACATCGTTAACATTTGATTTTTAATGGAAATTTTTTAATTATCTTTATTTCTTTAAAAGATAATAAAGTACAGGAGCTAATAATATATCACATTGATCGAAATATAATTTCAAATGCAAACGTAAAAATCTAAAAAACCATCGGCCTAGAGGTTTTTAATTACTTCTTTTTAATTATGATTATCTTTGAAAAATTTTAAAATTTCTTTTTATTTCCAATGATTTAAAATTGTCTGAAATAAAAATTCGTAAATATTTTTTGTGAAGATAGCTATTTTTTAAGTTGTTGTTTTACTCAAGTGTGTAATTAATAAGCTCATAAAAAACAGCTCTAGAAAATGGATAATTTTTAGAATAATTGGAACATATCCCATTCTGGGGATTCAATGACATTTTATCTTTGATTATTTGTAGTTTAAATATTAGTTGCATCAATCTGTGATATTTTTTCAAAAATGTTTGAATAAATGTGACATTTTTTTAGTATTCCAATACCCTGTCCCTGTATAGGGTGATTTACTATATTATGAACTCCCATTACCTTTTTGTTTTTAGAATTATAAAAAAATTTGTAGAAAGTTGTCGTTTTTTCGTTTTTTTAGTTTTTTTTAAAGGTTTTCGTTTTTTATTCCCGCTTATTGTTAGAGATGAACCCGACAAACCTTATATGACTATGCTCGACAGGGAACGTTCTCCCCAAATATGCAAAAATATACAAGGTGTTCCATTTAAATTAACAAAGTTAACATCCACGGCCATTTTGTTTGGACCTCATTTGTTTTTCTACTATCATTTTCGAATAAGAAATCATCGTGCAACTTTTGTATTTCACATTTTTTTTATAACTTTAAAAACCAACAAAATTAATTTGGAGGTCAAATTATAGTGAATCACCCTGTACCTATCTGTATATAGAAAATAAGTGGCTTCAAATTCTTAGTTCATTAATACATTTTGATCTAAACTGAACAAAGAATACAACCTCCTGACGTTGGTGTGGACTTGACAGAGGGAATCTTCTTAATGGTTTAATAATAATAATAATAATTGACTGTTCCAATTTAATTTCAGAAAAATGTCGTCGGAACGTATAGCCCCCCTCATGGACATCTACCATTTCGACATCGTCGACTACGCAGTATTTTCTTCTATGCTAATCTTATCAGCCTTGACAGGTTTATATTACGGGTGTCGGACCAAGTATTGTAAGAATCAGGAGGGCCAGACGCTCAGGGAGTACTTGACGGGAAACGGAAATTTGAGACCATTTCCCGTAGCACTTTCACTCATCGCAAGGTGAGAACACCAATTAGATGTATCTATTAATTGAATTAATTTTTGCGAACTGGAATTTAATATTTCCAATGTCATTAAGCTTACTTTTAATTTTAGCATACTCATTCAAATTTTCTTAAAAATGTGAATCAACGATTAAGGGCTGATTTTCAGGCCTTTTCTCAGGAATTTTTTTGAGTGGGACAAATTGATTAGAATTTGAGGAATTCGCAATTTTGATCTAAAAGCAAAATGGTTTCTATGAATATGAACCTTATTGCGGTTTTGCAGGTAAAAATTGTGAAAATTGAAGTTTTGACACGTGATTGAAAAAAATTTATCGATATTCACCATTTTTTAAATTTATTTTGAATGAAAAACACCATTAAATTATGATATCATCCCAATTGTTGGTTCATGTTCTTTGTAATTTCATAACTAATTACAGTCTCTAAAATTTTGGTATAAGGTTAATTAGAGTTTAAAATATTACTAAGAATGTATGCGTTGTTTATGAGACATCCATCAATAAGTTTTGACATAAGCCTACTTTGAGAAAAGTCACTTATTTTATATACCGTAATATTGTAAAAGTTTAATTAAAAGGCCTTTTTGTCGAAAACCGTCCGCATTAGGAAGTTCTAAGAGTACATTATTTTTAGAAAATAAAATAGTACATTAGAAATTAGAGCCCGAATAGTAAAAAACCTAACCTTAAAAAAATTAGAACTTAAAATGTAATAGGAATGTAGCATAACTAGCGCCCTCTATGAAATATCCAAAAAATAATTCGACCAGCGTATTTGGCATCCTTAAAAACCCCGGAAAACCTTTCATAAAAATATTTTGCACCGCTTGGAAACTTTCTTAAAAATTCTATTTCAAAAATTTTATTTTGTCGCTCTGTATCTCGAAAACAAGAGGAGATAGGCATCGAACTGTATTTACGGGAGGTCTTTCTGAAACACCCTATATAATATACAAGTCGAACAACTGCATTAATGAACAAATTCATTCAGTTATTATTAGTAGATTGACGAATGAGCCTGCAGATCATTGCACATTTTCTCAAATCTTGGGATCAAACTGAACTCGACCACCCTCTTTTCATTTTCCACGTAGATTTTTGCTCGCTATTTGCTCTGTATCACTGCAACCGTCGAAAACCCAACCTCGCATAAATAAGAAATCGAAATGTTGCTTTCCAGCCATTGTCGCAAGACAACTAAATAAGATTCTCTACTGCAGAAATAAATTTAAACGAAGTGTTGAAACTTTTTTAATCTGAAAATATTTCTCAAATCAGGTGATAAACTGTGGCGTTATTCTTCATATCTCGAAAGAAATCGACTCCATTTAAGGTCAAATGCTGCTTCAAAATGCAGAAATAATCCTTGGTCGCACCTTCATTTGTTTTTCTTCATAGTTTGACTTTGTTTTTTAAATTTGAATTTTTTTCCATCGACTTCGAAAGGTGTATATTTTTTTCCTGCAGAAAGAAAGAGAGAATTAGTTCATTAATATATTTTCAAAAAATTCGCACAAGTATGCCTGTTTCTTTAAAAACTTTGCACCGACAAAATCTTCAGCATCTTTTGTCCTTTTTCTTTTTGGGACGTCATAAATTTCCAATCGTAGTTCAAACACAGCGATAAAACATTACCACGATGGCTCTTATCGTGCAAATTTTTGGAAAAAGTTGTTTTCAATGGACGAGTTTTTATAAAATTGACTACATTCACTAGGCACACATTCTGGAGCTTCAAATACTATCAGCATCCTTATTATTATCCGTAGCCTCATCCTTCTGCAACCTAAATCCTTTTCCTTTGAATTTTTCAACTAATTGATCATTAACATTCTCTACAAATATACAGTATACTGTATTAAAATTTTCTTATAATATTGTTTTTTTCAGTTACGTTTCAGGTGTCACAATTTTGGGGACTCCATCTGAAATATACAATTTTGGAACGCAGTATTGGTTTATCATAATAGCCATATGGATCAGTGGACTAGTCGTAGCCTATGTGTACCTTCCAGTTTTTTTAAAACTGCAAGTCAATTCTTCGTATGAGGTATTCCTAAAATGATTTCAAATTAACCTTTATTTTATTAGCGTGAATGAGGTATAACTTACAAGGTATATGTCATGTCTTAAATGTCATTGGTACTTTTTGCCTACTGGTTGTGCTTTGACTGCTTTGTAATGTTACTGGCAGAGAGCGACCTACTAATCAGCAAGTACTATGAAAGCATGACTTGTTTCATACTAGGTAAAATAAACTTTCTTTAACTAGTAAAATAACTATTCTTCGGGTTATATGTCCCGTCCATCATAATTACGCCTGTAGTATCAAGTAAACAGCTAAGATCATCGGTAGAAGAACCAGACATAAACCGCAATTGTAAATCAATTCTGGACGGGGCATGTAGTTTAGAGTAGTTGTTGCCCACAATAGCATCAGTTAGTCTTTTTTTAAAAGAAGTTTTCTCTTTTATTTGTCATATTCCTTGAATAACCAAGTTCTCTACAGCTGCTGAAAATCTAGTTGTACCTTATTTTACAAGGGATATTCTTTTTTTTTTTAGTACCTGGAACTAAGATTTAATAGAGTGGTACGAACAATAGTATCAGTATTTTTCGTATTAGATGAAGTAAGTATAGCATCACTTTTCTATGTTTATTTTAAAACCAATGTATATTTTTCCTGAATTTCAGGTGATGTTTTTGCCGATAGTAATTTATGTACCTTCACTAGCGTTTAATCAAGGTAATTAATATTTTTTACGTATTTTAATGAAAATTGTTTAATATTAATAACACTTACAACAGGACTCTTCTTATTTCCTTTTTTATTGTTACAGTAACTGGAATCAATATTCACCTGATTGGTTCTATTGTCTGTCTCGTTTGTATATTTTATACTTTGCTCGTAAGTGTTTCTGTTTTTTCTTTAAAATTTTCATTTTTGATTATGAAAAATTATTCTCATTATGTTCTGCCTCTTTTATTGACTCCTACTGTCAAAATCCTACAATATTAATTTTAACTATTATGTTTCTCTTTGTAGGGTGGTCTGAAGGCTGTAGTTTGGACAGATTCATGGCAAGTTATAGCCATGTTTATTTCTGTTTTAGTGGTGGTAATACTGGGCACTGTTACTATTGGTGGCCCTAGTGTAATAATAGACTTAACCGAAAAGGGAGGGAGATTCGAATTTTTTAAGTAAGAAAATAGATACAGTACTAGAAATAGTCTACCTAACCTAATATAAAAATGAAGAAATACATAAATCATCTGATTTTATTTTCAGTTTTAACCCAAGCATGTACGAGAGATACACCGTTTTCAGCGTAGTATTCGGAGGATTTACTTACTGGACGTGTTTCAATTCCGTCAATCAGACCATGGTTCAGAGGTACCTGTCGCTGCCTAACGAAAAGCAGTCGAAATTGTAAGCATTTGTTAATTAATAAATTTATCCTTGAAGGTGATTTTTTTCTAATATTTTCAAGGTCACTCTTACTATTTACCATTGGCGTGTCCTTCTTCGTATGGGTGTGCTGCTACGCTGGTATCTTAGTATACGCCACTTACTACGGTTGTGACCCTTTGTCCCTGGGCAGGATCAAGGCCGACGATCAAATTCTCCCCCTCTTTGTGATGGAGACTGTAGGACACTTGAGGGGAGTCCCAGGGCTCTTCATCGCGGGGGTTTTCGGTGCCGCGCTGAGGTAATTGGCTTAGAATGACTAATTAATTGAATCCTTTACTGTAATCGATGCAGAGATGCCCGATAGTACGGTGAAAATGATGAGAATGTAAGGAATTTTGCTATAATAGTAGGTATTCTTCAGTGAATGAATGTCTGAATAGAACAATCATAATTGTACCTAACTGATGTAACTGATGTGCATGCTTGAAACACTTACAAAATGGTCTTCAAACCATCAAAGGTCATAGGTCATCTCTCAAATTATGGCGAGCTATTGAGCAAGCTCAAAAAGTAGAACTGGAACCGTTTTTTTGTATTGAGATTCCCATGTACCACACATTCTTCCTATGTACGTTCTATGATTGGTTGTTCTGAATATTCTGAATATTCTATTCAGTATATCTGTTTAGACTCCATATGGATTTCAATGGATGATATCTTATGGAGGTACAGATGTCACAACTTTTTACATCCATACACTGTAGAAAATAAATCTATGGTCTACTTCCGCATTGCTATAAGTATGCCAGGAAAAAGAGCTGAGAAATGACTATTTTGCGACTTTTTGCTTCGGCAAGCTGAATTTATCACTATAGATGCTAAATATTATGTACAATAACATATTAGTTTCCACAGTCATAAAAATGGGGGGAAGATTGTTTACAATTGTATATTTTTTACGTAAATTCACATTTTCACTTATAACTTTTTTCCGTTCATTTCCACGAGAAAACAGTAAAGTACATTTTTTTCGTCTTCAAAAGACCTACAAAACTAACTCTCGAGCGTCAAAAAATATTAAATCAAAAGGTATAAACAGAAGAAGTTTATTTATGATTTTTGAATTAAACATTTATAAACTGCGTTATTATTACCAGAACGTTTTGGCATCGCATCCTCTCATTCCTGATCACTGTCTAATAACTCACACGAAATCTGGAATCGGTAAGTTGAGTAGTTTACAAGTTATAAGTTAGATACCTTTTGGTATCTGATCAATAATTTTTGACGCTCGAGGACTAGTTTTGTAGGTCTTCTGAAGACGAAAAAAAGTGCTTTACCGTTTTCTCGTGGAAATGAACGGAAAAAAGTTATAAGCGAAAAACGTGAATTTACGTAAAAATTATACAATTAACCAGCCTGTAAACAATCGTCCCACCATTTTTATGACTGTGGAAACTAATATGTTACATAATATTTAGCATCTATAGTGATAAATTCAGCTTACCGAAACAAAAAGTCGTGTCCAACTTTATACTTCTTGGCCTATAAAATGGTACATCCATCATCCATACGCTACTTCCAAGTCACTCTATTTGGATAACCAAAATAATGTTTCATGGATGTATAATTTATGGATATCCTTTTGAGATATAAAGATGTACCTACATCTTATGATGTCCCCAATAAAAATATTAATTTTGTCATGAACATTTTAGGATGTATATTATAACCACGTCCATTGAAACTGCAAAAAATTACGACTTAAGGATATATCTAACGGAGGTTCATGTGTATAACAAAACAGAATATCCTGAAGGGAGGTTCATGTGTATAACAAAACAGAATATCCTGAAGGATATCCAAATAAAAGACGTATTATTCGTTTTAGGTATGAATATACAAAACACATCCATGTACCTGAGACCAAAAATGGATAAGTATCCATGGAACTTTAATAATATACAATTTTGGAAAATAGTTCCATTCGTAGGTACTTTAAATAAACATCAGCCATTACTGTATTTTCTACTTTTATTAAAAAGATTGTTTACAAATTCGTTTTCTTATAATTTATTAACTTCCCGTTCTATTTTCAGTTCCCTCTCTGTGATATTGAATTCAACAGCTCAAGTATTTTTGGAAGACTTCATGAAGGGTTGCATGAGGTTGACGTTAACAGAAAGAACAGCGACACTGATTGTAAAAGCTGTTGTTCTGGTCCTGGGACTCGTCGCCCTAGGGTTCCTTTATGTGGTGGAGCATATGGGAGGGGTGTTAGCTGTGAGTACCCTTTTATTTTGAGAAATATTTGATGTTACAAAATAAATTTTTTGAAACTGTAAATAAAAAGGTCAGTTTTCTTCATGGACCAAGTAAGTTTTGAAGTCACTAGGATTTGATTTATTCTGTTTTGTGTAGTTTTTTTTATTAAAGTATTATATCCAGTTTGAAAAAAATTGAGTGTAAAAGCTAAAGGCAAATTACTAATTTAAAAATATAATTTTGAGGTTATAGAATTGCATTAATGTTGAGATTTTGAATAGAATGGTTACCTCAATTTTTGCTGTTATTTATGATTTTAGCATCCTGTGACAGCAATTTAAAAGTGCCAGCAAATAAGTGAATTGCTCGGCAAATAATTACACATAGACCATCAAGGCAACAACTTGGATGACCACAGATATCAATTGTTAATAAAAGGTCACACTGTATTAACCTCAATTTGTAACCAGCGCCCTTTCAGCTCTTGGTTCTAGTTTCAAAAAACCTTTTGACATCCCCCTGCCTCACACTGTTTGAAAACAGATTATAATTCCTGATTTCTCTTCCAGATGGCATCATCTTTATCGGCCATAGCAGCAAGCACGACCTGTGGGATCTTCACTCTAGGAATGGTGATCCCATGGGCGAATTCCTACGGTGCAGTGGTAGGAGGCATAGCCGGCGTCATCGCTTCTGGTCTAGTGTCCTTTGGAAGTCAATTCGTTTCAGCTGCTAAGCTGGTAGTTCCCCACAAATTACCGGTTTTTGTCAACGACAGTTGCTTTGAAAAGTACGGGATAGATCCCAACATCACTATCTCAGATGTAAGTACAACATGATAAATTTGTTGTTGTTGAGAAAGGCGGCGTATTTATCCACAGCATTCAGGTCTTACGAACCATTGTGCATGCTGCTAATAAGAGTTGTTTTAGAACAGGACCGAGCTTCATGTGAAAGGAAGTACTAGCTCTGCTGGAGTCTCTCTAATGTTGAGAGGTGACAGAAATGCTGCCTAACAATCTATGTCTATTTAGTATTGAGTAAGCACAATGACAGAGGATATGTCTTCATGTTCGCATAACCTGTAGGTGACACTCAAACCGATTCTGTTGAGATGCTTGTTTGTCCATGACTCGTTAGAAGTCCTGTGACAATCCCAATGCTGCAACAAACCAAATTTTCCATTTGCTTCAGCCCATGATTTAGTTACCATTAACTCTCTTTGTAACCTTGCTATAGCATCAATAGAGTCGGGGTATTGACACACTCCAAAACTACACGGAAAGTAATCAATCCTGTGTGACAAAAGCGCGTACAAAGTTGCCTGTTTCTTCTTTTGAAGCTATTTTGCGCAATGCAGAGATAGGGAATCTCTGTTTGACAAATTTTACTTTGCCTTAATGTAGAAAATTTGAAGAGAAAGTAAAGATTAATAAGTCTGAGACAAATCTGATTTATGGGGTACATACCTGTTAGATTAGATAGATAAGTGTTTATTACTTGCTATTCTGAGAAATATAGGTAGGTACTTACTCTTATAATCCATTTTTTTATTGAAATCTTTCCAAAATATTCTAAGAACGTGATGATAATAAATGTATTATAATTTTTTCTGTTATAATTTAATAGTATCAAAGCTTAATAGTTTAATATGCCTACAATGTCAAACATACAATTAAAATGGTATATAAATATAATACTTAAGTTGTAAAACTTATACAGGGTGATTCACAACTTATCCCACAAAATTTGGGAATAGATGCGGCATGAGAAATGGATTGACTCCATTGTAAAAAAAATGTTTGTAAAATCCTTATAGTTTCTGAGAAAAAAATTATTGAAGTTATAGCACATTAAACCATTACATAGCTGGACAACTGTAGTCTCTAGCGTCATTCGCAATACGCGTGGAGAGCCATGTGACTCCTAATACTGAAATCCGTCGTAGCGGTAGTTTTTACCTGTTATCTGTGGTATTTACATCAGTTTTTTAGTAGTTAGTGTCAAAAATGCCTTGCGTGTATAGCAACTCAGAGTTGATGGATATCGTTTTAATTTATGGTGAAGCAAGACAACATTTGTATTATGGTGAAGTATTTGTATTATGGTGAAGCAAGACATCATTTGTGTTAGTTCGTAGAAAGTGAGTAAGACGGACCCAAATGTGTTTACACGTGAGTGGATAAAATTTTGAACAATTGCTGTTGCAGCATCGGGTATGTCAAATGATTTTATTATTTAAAAACACAAATTAATTTTATTAATAATTAATAAAGGCAAAAGCATTTGAATTTGCCGATATAAAATAGGTGCGATAAAATTCTATTTACATATTTCTTTTCTTGCGAAAGTTTTTGTCCGTTTTTATCACACCGCCATACCGGTCGCATTGTGCGAGGTCAGGTTTTACAGTGGACCAGTTTCCAGTGCCGTGCAGAGGTGTATTTTTAAATCAATTTCGAACTGACCTTTTTGATTTTTTCTTTACAAAATTGAATTTGTAAGGGTTCCCTGTACATCCAGAATTTTTTTTTTGGATAAGTTCTGAATCACCCTGTATAATGCATTAAGAATCGCTATTAACATCACAAAAAAAATTCATTTTTAGAATCACTATCTAACCTAAATTTATAATGTCATATATTCATCCAAGTTAGGTTCATTTTGTTTATACTTCTGCTCAAATATTTGTACGTGTTGGCAACATATATGCCATTCGTCTATGGCAAACTGTATGAAAAATTTTAAAGATTCAACATTTTTATTGAAAAAGCTATATTTCTTCCAGCAACACACTTTTCCAGTGTCATCAAATATAATTGGAAAGTTTTATTCTAAGTACTATTGATATATATGGAAAATGTTCTTAACATTGTTTTTTATAATAAAAGTCAATTCTTCTGCTTTTGTCCGAAATAAACTTTTCAATTACTTTTTTTTTTATTAAAGTTTGATATTTCTCTCACCACTGAGTTTTCAATAATGCAATGCAAGTGCTGTGAGTCTGTCTTTACAATATAATGTAAACATTTACAATCTTTAAAAACACACAACAAACAATAGGTAACAAAATTTTACATCACACGTAAACAAATTACGTTGAATAAGAAAAAAACAGTATACAGGGTGTCCCAAAAGTGACGTCCGTCCTTCTGGGTGTTGATTAAGGGGACAAAAACAAATCGAAAATCAAGAGTGAAAAATTTTCCGATTGTTTTTCTTTCTTGAGTTATTGAAAAACTTATTCGAAAAACTAAAAAAATAAAATCCATTTTTTTTTCTCAAAGACAAATAATTTATAACTAATAGTAGGTAAGTATAATTTCCGATTGTCGGTTGTACCTGGGTGTAAGGAATTATTTTAACCTGAAAAGGATAGAGAAAAACATTTTAATAATAAAACAGTTTTATAAAATGGAGAGGAAAAATCTTATAAACTAAAACCATAATGTGCTTAAATAATAGAAATTGTTTTTACAAAAGGTGTTCAAATAAGTTGCTTTCTACAAAGATTATCACAATTCAATATTGAAGTATGAACTCTTTGTAACATCTCTTGGTTTATTAACGCGACAGCAGAGTGTATACGGGCTTATACATTTTCTGGATTTACAATAGGTTCGCTGTAAATATTTACTTTTAAATAACCCCAAAAGAAGGGAATTCAGATCTGGTGATCTACGAGGCCATGGTCCCCCTCTTCCGATCCATCTGTCTGAGAAGTTTTGATTAAGATAATTTCATATTCGTAAACCATAATATGATGGAGCTCCATCATGTTGAAACCAATAATTTAGTCTGTCAACGGAACGTCATCCAGCAATGGCAGCTACAGCAAATACAGCTCTGAACTACATAATTATTTAATAATCCAACCCAAATGTTTATTTTTAGTTTTTTTGAATAATTTTTTTAATTACTCACTAAAGAAAAACAATCGGAAAATTTTCCACTCTTGATTTTCAATTCCTATTTGTCTCCTTATTCAAATCCCAGAAGGACGGGCGTCACTTTTGGGACACCCTGTATAGCTATTATTTAGATTTGGGCGAACTCTCCCACTCCATCTGTCACTGCTGCGCGACGGTAACCATGACCACCGTTGTAAACACTTTACAGATTTAGGGGAGAGCTACAAGGAGCCGTGTATTCAGTGTTTTTCAAAAGAATTTTTCAAGTCGAGTTAAATTGACTGAACATTACTTTAACATTTCCTATTTAATGTAAACTAAATTTTAAATTAAATTTTTTACTATGAAAATTTCAAGGGGGCAGCGTTCCAGAGCCCTCTATGGGGTTTAAATCGGGATGGTAGAGAGGCAAACGTAAAATACCCTTTTCTTGCAATAAGTCAATTTCATACGTTTTGTAACGTGGTCTGTCACTATTGAATGAACGAGTAACCCTTTTTTTTAGCCATCTTATCCAGACGAATCTTCCGTCTTCCCATTATTCCGGCTTTCTTTCATGTGGATAACACCTGTGGGGTTGTGCACCGTGCTGATTGTTGGGATCACAGTCAGCTTCGTGACAGGCAACACGGATATCAACTATATTGATCCCGATCTGATATCGCCCGTAATGCAGTGGGTTCTTCCCGAGGGCTCCCAGAGATACGCTGGGTCGGCCATAAGGAAAGCCAGACATAGGGAGCTGGTGGAGAGAGAAAAAATGGTCGGGGATCTGCACGTGTTGGCTGTTTCTACTATGGTACGTTTACAGAATTACGTATTTTATTAACAGTCAATAGTAAGTGGAAATTATGGTACGATGGCAGTCTCTTTATTGGAACATCCTCAGGCAGTGGCGGCTCTTGATTTCCGTACCAGAAAGGGCGGAAAAATTTAAGTATAAAGTATTGAAACAAAAAAAATGAAATATAATTGATGCAGTTTTGTTTTAAGTACTATTGAAATATAGGGAAAATGTGCTCAACATTATTTTTTATACTAGTGAAAGTCCACTCCTCTGTTTTTGTCCGTGAATTTTTCAATTACTTTTCCTTTAAAGTTTGGTATTTGCCTCACCATTGATTTTACAATAGATAACATTACTGCTAGTCTATCTTTACAATCAATTTAATAGGTCAGGAAAAAGAGCTGGGAAATTACCATTTTGCGACTTTTTGTTTCGGCACGCTGAATTTATCACTATAGATGCTAAATATTATGTACAATAACATATTAGTTTCCACAGTCATAAAAATGGGGGAAAGATTGTTTACAGGGTGGTTAATTGTATAATTTTTATGTAAACTGCCGTTTTTCGCTTATAACTTTTTCCGTTCATTTCCACAGAACAAGTACTTTTTTTCCTCTTCAAAAGACCTACAAAACTAGCCCTCGAGACTGACAAAATATTGATTAGATCAAAAGTTATAAACAGCAGAAGTTTATTTGACTTTTGAATTAAACATTTATAAACTGCGTTATTATTACCAGAACGTTTTGGCATCGCATCCTCTCATTCCTTATCACTGTCTAATAACTCACACGAAATCTAGTATCGGTAAGTTGAATAGTTTGCAAGTTATGGCCTTATAAACAAATTAACTAATTATTAGTCTGGACGATCCCGAGCATCTTCCACAATCGCACTGATTTTTTTTCATGGTAGATTTCATAATAATACATTGAAATCTATTATTTTTTCTTAATTTCAAATTTGCAGCCTGGATTTTTTTTATTTTTTAGCCTTTGTTGTAAAATGAAATATACAACGCACGCGCGTGATATAGTTATATGTATATTATTACATATTCGGAAAGCTCATGAAATTCGCTTGAAAATAATATATTTGACAGTCTATAACTCCGTTGTTTTTCAACGAATCTTGACGATTTTTTTTTAACTTAAAGTTCTTTTCATTGTTATAATTAATCTTATTTTACTTTTGTACTAAATTTGTATTTTGGTTTGATATTTATATGTATTAATACTAAATATTTTCATATACAATTTGTAATTATTTGTTTCATTTGAAAGTCTTCACGATGTTCCAATAAAGGGTCGAAACATCGATGCTCAGAAAAGTATGCATTTCTTAACTACTTTTTGGTCATAATTATCATTATATTATTAATACTGGTTTCTGATTGGTCTGTAATTAATATTTTTTATTTCTGGTTTTAGGGTACCTCGAATGGGAGATCTAGTTCACCCTGAGTATTGTACAAATAAGTAATATTTAGATGTCAATTTTTGTACTTATCGTATTTTTTTACAGTATTAAATTATTGTCAAACATGTTTTTTTAATGCTATCTTTTGCACCTAAAGCATTAACTAAGTAGTATTCAAATTTTGAATATGGGGGTTACGTTTTCCAGCGAAAAGTTTTAGCCAGCTGTAGTACATACTCAAAAATAAAATACCTACTATTTGGTTTTTGCTTGAATAATCTTCAGTTTAAAACATTGCTTGCTACTAACGATTTTTATGAAATTGCCTTCAAATTAACAGTACGAGGGTACTAGAAAAATTGTCTACCTAACAGGAGAAGGATCTTCTCTGAGCCCATGTTTTACTTGAAGATAACATATACCTTGGTGCATAGACCCACCAAAGGAAAAGCATTTTCCGAAAGTCGTCTTGGAATTATTATTCAAACAATTTACAATTTCTTCATAGAAATTTAATACGTTTATCCCATCGACTCCAGGGACCCCCTGCAAGACCATGAAATGTATTTAATATACCTTACACATTTGCCCTACTATTAACAGGCTTCTATAGCAAATAATAATATATTTTAATAGATTTTAATAGATTTTATTGCATAGTTTGTCTAAATATGAATCAATGCACAAATAACAGACTTTCCTCCATTCTAACGCAGATTTTCTGTAAAATGGAGTTAGTGTGAAACTCAAATTACTTTTTGTTGTAAAGAAATTTGTAATTTGCCGCTTTTGAACAAGCGGCATAGTAAATTACTGTGTAATAAAATCTATAAAAATGTATTGCTGGTTGCCTATTTGCTACAAAGTCCTCTTAATGTCTCCTAACTGTTTTGCTCCTACAGCGGACTCTCTTCTCGATCTGCTCATCTGGTGGACCCATGTGAGTTTGGTCATGCTGTATGAAAGTACATTTTTCCGTATAAATTTACTAAATATTGGTCAAATCAAATCAATCTAATTAGTATTAGGTATTTACAATCATTTATATATATTTAAAGCACAAAGATGATGTATCATATTCATTTTATTCTTAAATTAGCCATTTTGGACATAAAAATAGATTTAAAAGCAAGGAAAAGTCTCCAGTTGCAAATTGTATACAATTGAACTGACCCTTACACTATATCCATCTTGCTCACTCTCTCTAGAAAGAACTGATTTATTGTTTCCAATTCTTCTATCTGTTGTTTAATTTTAATGCATTCAACATTCTGTAAAGAATATTTAAACCCCGGAAACTTAGTGAATTGGGGACAGTCGGGAGCCAACATTGATTTGTCTTTCTATTTTTATCCTCTCAGCAGCCAAGTGAGTATATCCGATAAAATAGTATTTGTTCTCGCTAATTATTTTCAATATTTTAAAGATCGACTGGGCATATCTGTTGGAGGCGCCCTCTATGCCTTCCATACAATTTTTCATCCCCTAAAGACTTAATTTTCATATCATGTGACATAGTTACTTGAATTTTTTGTTTTACCTTTCTAGGCATCTTATCCAGACGAATCTTCTGTATTCTCATTACTCAGATTATTTTCATTGTGGATAACATCAGTAGAATTCTTCATTGTTCTTATTTTGGGGGTTATAGCAAGTTTTATATGTAGAAGAACGGATCCAAATCTTCTTTCTCCAGACTTAATCCACTAGTAGTGCAATGGATTCTGCCTGACGAATCCAAGAGATTTGTAGGGTCTATAATTAGAAGGGCTAAACGTAAGGAGATGGAGAAGAGCAGAAAATGATAAAGGAAATGGAGGCATCATCAGAAGCGAGAGATTTGTGACGATAATATGTATATACGATATAAGAAACGTTCATTTGGTTTATTTTTTATGGTTTCCTTTCCGTAAAACAATTTCTTACCACAAGGCTATTAAAAATACGGTCATTGTTAGGCAATTTGTCCAGTTATTCGATACATGCTGTATTTTTTCCGTTACCGAGCACGCTGAATATTTAACAACGCGTGCAATGAACCGTTATTTATTGTATGCCGAATTATTATTTTTGTTGACGGTTGTTCGGAAGTTAACAATAGAATAAGTTTTTAATTTTTGTGTGCGCGCTTTGTAACGTGCCTAAATAAACGTAAATTTTTAATTATCGGCCATCGATGCCTTGGGGGAATCAAAACAAAATTAAATTTCCACCTATTGTTTAATAGCCAACGAATTTCAAATGTCTGCCGCGCCGGCCATTTGGGCGCTACAGCGTAAAGGGCCACAGGTATGATTCCGTAACTACAGGGTGGACCCCTTAATTTTTTTAATTTAGTTAATTCTTAAAGTTGTCTCGGTTTTTACACAAAGAAGTAAAAGCATTTATAAAAAAGAAGAATTTAAGAAATTAATGAAATAAATTCTTGCACCAAAGGGATCACTTGTGAGTTACTTTTATGAAAATAGTTTTCCCTAATAAAAAAGCATATAAATACAAAATGCACATCGCAGTATCATTTAAATTTTCTTTTAAAGATATGATTTTCCTTTTCCGAAATTTTGGCCGAACCCGTTGAATTTTATAGTAAACTTTGTGCTGGTCTATTCTAATTTTTACAGGTCGAGATAATGTTTGTTATATTTACAATATACCGGGTGTCCCATTAATATTGCGAAAAAATTCAGGGGGAGTTTCCTTGACCAGAAATAAGAAAAAATGTTCCTACAAACCTATGTCCGAAAATGCTTCGTTTCGGAGATACAGGGTGTTGAAATTTAGAGAAAATACAAAGTAAGAAAATATTAATATCTGGAGAACTCTAATTCCGATTTTTTTGAAATTTGGTATATTTGTTTGTAAAACCGGTAGACATCTTCTGACGTGTATGTATTGTTGATTAGTAAATAACTAAAACATTAAGTTTCTATTTTTGTTTTCTACTTCACTTAAGAATGTGCATATGAAAGGATATTAATTTTTTGCTCGAAAACGAAGCAAGATATCTAAAAAGTAAAGAGACAAAAAAGTTGAATTTTTTATCGCATAATTAGAAAAATATATGACACCTAAGAAAAAGCAGTGACGTCTCATATGTTTACTTATTAATATCAACAGGAGTGAGTCCCCGGACGTCGCTGGAATAGATAAAATAAATCAAATTAGGTACGTCAAAAGACGTCTACCGTTTTTATGCAAACATACCAAATTTCACAAAAATCGGAATTAGGGTTCTCCAGATATTAGTAAAAACCTTGTATTTTCTCTAAACTTCAACACCCTGTATCTCCGAAACGAAGCATTTTCGGACATAGGTTTGTAGGAACGTTCTTTCTTATTTTTGGTCAAGGAAACTCCTGAATTTTTTCGCAATATTAATGGGACACCCAGTATGTATAAATGCAACGTTTCGAATTTTGAAAATCATTATTTGGGCATGTCTTTGAGAAAAAAAAGTATTAGTTGCTCGATAAACTGTTCTAAAGTTAAGTTTGTTACCTATTATTCTTAATATTCCGATAATCCAGAAATAACGAGCGTTCAAATAAAAACGTGGTCGAAGTTGGCTCTGACACATTGGACGTAGGGAGTAGCTTATAGCGACCAACTTAACCTCATTTCTCAACGAGCTGTATAGCAGCTGTCAGTTTCAATAACGTTAATGACCATATAACTTTATTTTAAAGAATAATCGTGATAACAATAACAAACAATTAAAGGAGCTGCGGAAAGTGTCCCCCTCCTTGTTATAACAATAAATTAAAGCAGCTGCTGAAAGTGTCCCCCTCCTTGTTCCAAGCACTTTTCACACCTGTTCCTCAAAGAATTAAAGACATTTTCTAAGATGCTCGGGGTATTGTTAATTTCACGAATCTTGTCTATAAGTCGAGCCTGCAGATGGTTTAAATCAGGAATAGGCAGTTCAAAAATAGTGTTTTTAAGGTAAGGCCACAAAAAGAAATCACACGGCGTAATATCACATGACCTCGGTGGAAATTCATGTTCAGCATTGAGACTTATTAGTCGATTTTGGAAAACTTCCCTCAACATATTCATCGTCTCGCCTGCCGTATGTGCCCTTGCGCCATCTTGTTGAAAGTAAAAGTTTGTAATTTCGTTTTCTTCCAGCTGGTTAACAAAAGGAGCGATAATTTCTTCTCTATACCTTTGCGCAGTAAGAGTACCATTAAAAAAAATAGGTCCATAAATCCTCCTTCGATTGAGAGCACACCAAACTCCAATTTTTTGAGCGTGTAGAGGGCCCTCGACAAAAAAGTTATCTGGTTTTTCAGAAGACCACATTCTCATATTCTGTGAGTTTACGTAACCACTTAAATGAAACCAGGCTTCATCAGAAAAAAAGGTGATATTATGAAGTTCACCGTAGTTGTTTAAAAACCATTCACAAAATACAGCCCGTCGCGGAAAATCAACTTCATGAAGTTCTTGCTGACAAGTTAAACGATAGGAGAACAAACGCAAATCTTTTTTTAACACTGTGTGGCAGGTACCGACTGATACTCCCACCATTTGTGATAAAACACGTACAGAAGTTCTTGGCGCATTTTCCATTATTTGTTGGACATTTTCTTTTAATTCTTAAGTACGCTTTTTAGGTCGGCCGCTTCTTTCTTTTCTTGTTACACTGCCCGTTTCACGAAAAACATTAACACAAGGCTGAACTGCACTTTGAAAAATTTTGTACTCAACAACGCCGTGAAATTGATTTTGAAATTCTATGAAACATTCCTCAGTAGAATACTTCCATATTCCATCAATCTTGCGTCCATTTCTAAAGTAGGACTCTATAATAAACACTTTTTGTTCTTGAGAAAACACCATTTTAAACGCTTTTTAAAACGAAAATATTCAAATTGATATCGGCGATATAGCGCTTTGACAGATGACGTTTAAGTTCATTTGCTGTACGCTACGCCCTACGTCCAAATTTTCAGAACCAACTTGACCACGTTTTTATTTGAACGCTCGTTATATGGAATTTTTATTGTGAATGTAAAAACTAAAAACAGACCGCGATTACAGTCCGTAGAATATTTGCTGACGTATAATTCCAAGAAAAGAATGAGCCAACAAGTTCTGTTATCGGAACTACTGTAACAGTTTATCCA